GGCTGTACTTAGCTGGTCACACAGAATGGAATAGCTTTATGATCATGAAATAAAAGTTTTAAAATAAAAAGCTGTGAGGTCAGAGTAGTTATCCCCCCAATCAGCTTATATAAGCAAATGTGGTTTTCCCAGAGTTGTATTCCACGAGCATTAACCAGTTCCTCTTCACTAAGGCCATCTCTAAATGGCTGAGGCTGCTCGGTTCATTTGTAGCTGCTACCTTGTAAATAGTGGCCAGGATTTCACACATTATCCAGGCACTTTGTCTTCATTAAAAATATTTATTATTTGCAGGCACAATATACCAGAAGCAGTAGTTACAAAATATTATGGCTGTGTTGGCACAGGCTAAGGAAACAGCCAGGAATGTGATTCAAAGGTGATTTTGGTTTCCAGGCAATTTCCCTCTTTCCCTCTCACTAAATGACACCTTCAGCTAGACCTGACTCCTACGAGCTGCCTCTGGCCTCCCTGCATGTGCAAACTGAGACATTCTCCAGGTAGCCAAAAACCAAACACAAAATAGCGTCAGGAAACATTCATCAGAAAGTTCAGCTGTCTTTCTTCCCCTCTGTCTAGATAGGACTATGTCAGTGTAAAAAAAACAAAAAAACCAACAGTGTAAAAAGAGTAAACCCAACAGCCAGTAACAGCTGTTTCCCTCTTTCCTAGAATGGTGGATGAGCATACTGAAAAAAAAAAAAAAAGTTTTTTTAAAGTTCCTCTTTAAAGCTAAAACATCTGAAACAGCCTCCATGTTCTTGCTGACTTGGGAATTTACCAAGAAGAAAGCTGCACAGTATGAAGCACTCAACTACATGTGTAATCAGTGTCAAGACTCACCAGAAATTCATATTGTGAGGAGGTGATTTATATGCTGAGTTGCTGAATTTTGCAGTCTTTTTTCTCCCCCTCAATTGCTTTGAAATGTACTGTCAATTAATGACAATTTTCTCAAAAAAAAAAAAAAGTTAAGTATTTGTTTGTACTTACTAATTATTTTACTTCTAGTAAGGTGATCATTATTTAGATTTTTTTTTTTTCCTAAATAGAATCCATTGCTGAAAATAAAGGAGATTCACATACAAGTTATTTGGAAATGTTGGTGTCTCCATGATGTGCTCTGACTCAATCTTTCAGGATGAGAAGCACATTCACACTTTTGCCACTCCAAGCAAGAAACTGCCTGGACTCAGCTGCTGATGCAGGGACAGAATTCCTCTCTGGGTGTGGATAAAACAATTTTCCTCCACATGAGGAATGAGGATATTTTACACATTGGCTGTAATGGAATTAAAGATGCAGAAGAGAATTCAGTCACTTCACTGTGACACAGACCAGCTAAAAACAGATGAGGGTGAAATCTTTTCCTGAAAGTTTTCATTGACCAAACCTCGAGGCTGTAAGTAAATCTTCCTTGTTCTATCAACTTCAACATGCAGAGTCTGCTTTTTTTTTTTTTTTTCCCCCAATCAGGACTCATTTCACCTTCAAAAGAGCAAGAGGGTGTTTTCCATTTTTAGTCTGAAATACTTTGAAGTATTCCCGTTCCACAGAACAGGGATCTGGATAGAATTTGACAAAAAGAAAAAAAAAAATTAATTCCTTATTCTCGTTTTTGTTTCAGTAATAAAGAAGTTAATGATCCCACATCTGGTTTTGTCCAGATATACTCTACAGCAGCCTGCTGAAAACAGCAGAGTTTGCTTGTAGGTTTACTTTTATCCCAAACAGAACCAAATCCAGCCTAAATCAGTGATCCTGGACACATCCCCAGCCAGAATTCCACACGAGGCAATTATCAACCTGTGCTGGTGTCACCTACCCAGAGCTGCAATTAAAGTTGATTGCAGCTTCACCACAGCAGCCAGAGATTTACACAGACCTTAAAAAAACATTTTCCTTGGCATCCACAGAATGAAGAAACACCAAAAAACCCCCCCAAAAAACCCAACAACAAAAAAAAACCCCAAAAAACCCAACAACAAAAAAACCCCCCAAAAAACCCCAAACCAAAATCCTCACTGCACGAGTGACATTAGAACGGTGACACATCTGGAACAGCTGGGTAACCAGCTGTGCATGCCAAGCTCAGAAAGCAGCTGCTCTCAGCCTTCATTCTGGGTCAGGCATTTGTTTGCAGCCACCAAAATATTCCATTTCATTTTGTAGCAGCTTCTTCAGTGCTCCCATATGGACAAACAGCTCCTAGGATATGGCAGCAGGCAAATATAAAGTTCTTTAGAAGAAATGAAGGCCAGATGTTGCTTTGTTATCTCCACCTGCATCCTTAAAAAACTTAGATTAAGTTGTTTCAGAGATATTATTAATGCCAGGTACAGGCAATTTGTTTATCAGCCATTTAAATGTCAACTTTCTAAAGGACAGAACATTACATTTTACCTTAGGATTCAAACTGAAATAAGATTAAACTACCCTAGAATAACTTCAGAAAATAATTACAGCACAATCCAGGATCACAGGGACAAAATAGCATTGTGTAGAAAAGACATGATGAGCCATTTCTGAGATCTGAATAAGCACTACTTATGGTTTATTAGAAAAGGAAAAATAAAACCCCTCCACCTTATCTTTAAAACATGGAAAGTTTGAGGTAAGACTTACCCAACAGCACCACTGATTAAAGGTCTTCTGTTCTGCTGCTTTGCTCAACAACTTAAGCCACTCTAGTCTAAGTCCTAGAGAATTTAATAAATCTATTACTGACAGTGTCATTCATTAATGGTTTTCAGCTATGCACTCCTGGTACATCTAGTGGCTCCAACAGGGTGGGTAAGAATTCTGTCACAGACTGTCCAATTAATGTGATTTAGATTGAAATGTGCAATTTTTTTATTTCCTGAAAATGGAACCTTATTGAATTCGTTTTATTATGCCTATTTCTGAGGAGATGTGAACTGAAGACTCCTTTTTCCACCTCAGTGATAACCCAAACAAGGTCTGGCTTTCAGCTGCCTGCTGAGGTCTTTCCCTTTGAGCCAGTGCACAAGATACAAAAACTGCCAAGACACCAACTAGAACTTTTTGAGTAATGTCACTTTATTAAGGGACTTAAAAGAATCACATTCTCTAGCAGCCTTGGAACAATGCAAATGGTGAACAAAAGACAAAAATAGATGTAATTGGTTCTGAAAAGCATGAACATCTGTAGAGAATGTGTTGCATTATTCCTAAGGACTCCTGCTTTTGAAAAAAAAGCTCGTTCCATATGTACAAGTGTCAGTGCAATAGCCAATAAAGCAATCAGTCAGAAATATAAAAATATCCTAGATACAAACTTAAAATAGATGTCTGAAGGCTGACCATATCAGTACTCTGATATTTCTGTATCTCAGGATCACTGGGATGAGTTGTTCTGATGAGGTAAGAAACAGTAGATGCTCTGTGCTAACACAAAGCCATACATTTATTAATTTTCTTTTTTTTCATAAGACAAAAAAAAATAGAGCACCCAATGAAACTCCAAGTCTTTGCAGCAAGTGCCCAGAGGAAGTGAAATGACAGTCTATGATGGTTACTACATTCCTGCACCGTTCACCTTTGCTGTCTTTGCCAAGAGCTCTCAGCAAAACTTGCTCCTTCTCTCCCCCTTTGTCAGCTCCATTATGAACTGCACGTTCCTTGCAGACACACCAAACCAACAGAGAAAACATCTGAAAACGTCCACAAATCACTCAGTCATTCCTTCCTTTACTGGTTGCAATTCTTTTCTCGGCAGGAAGAGATGGCAAAGGCTGAGAGCAAAGAGCTCTGGCAGGGTTAGGGAGAGTTGGGTGTGTCCTGTTTGCTTTGCCTCAGGTGCTCCAGTGATGCCCCTGCACTTAAGCCTGGGTTGGCTGAGCAATAAAATCACATTTCTCTTCTCTGCTCTGTCTTTTGGATGAAGGATGCACTCATTTGGGGCTGCTCTTCATCATTCATTTTTCCTTCAGCCACCTCGTCCACTGTGACCCCTCCAGGCTCTGCTGCAGAATTCTGATCCCTAATATTTTTACTTTTCAGGGAAAATGGCAGAAGAACAGGTAGCCAGACAACAATGGTGTGTGGTAAAGAGCACCAGGGAGAACTGGCAGCAGAGCTGGGAGTGCCAGAAGAATCCAACAAACACAAACTCCTGGTGGGGAGAGGGGAAATTCAATTTCAAACTGAGTGCCACTATCAGGCACTCCTCTGTGGAAAAGCACAATGAATGATATCGTTTCTAGAACAGCAATATTAACTTGATCAGGATATGATTTGTATGATAAAAAAAGCACAACAGGAGCTGGCAGCTGCCTTCCTGTGAAACTTGCCTTACCACTTATGGCACACACATGCACTGAGGCACACAGCAGTTGCCTGAACCTGCAAAGGAGTCCTTAGCTTTACATCCCAGATTCAAAAGCTTCCCCTGAAATGTTTTCGTTTCTCTTCATTCTTTTCTAAGCCTCTTTTGTCTCAGGCAAATTCAGGCAGCTGTGTGAGATGGAAGAGCAGAGCTGCTAACATCTGCAGAGTGCCAACACCTGACAGATTAGTTCAGGTTTTCTTGCAGTTTCTGGAAGATGCTGTGCAGATGCCAAAGCCTCCAGGAATCATCACACTTCTCTCCTTAACCCCGATGAACTTGGCAATCAGCGTTTGCAAATATTGAATTACTGCTCACCACACCCACCAAAGCTATTACCTCTCGTGTAAACAGGCAGGGAATGCAGGCTCAGAATGACTAAGTGATTATTCCAGGATCACAACACGAGTCTGGGAGGGCCAGCAGCTCAACCTGTATTTCTTGCATGTCAGTCTCAGGCTGTCTGTTCTGTTCTGTGCTGCAGCCTCAATTCTTTCCCGAAGAGGAAGACTGGGATCTCTTAAGAGTCTGTCACTGCTACTCTGCTTGACAGGTGGTGCTGCCAGTGGGACAGGAATTGTTGCATTCCCCACATCAAAAGGTGGAACACAGTGTGACATCTGTTTGCTGGAAGAAACACTAACCATACAAGTCCTTAAGAACATCAACATTTATTTAATATGATATAAAAGAAATGGGATATGAACATTCGTATTTGAACAATAATAAGTGGCTTCTTATACTTACATCATATGTGCTCATTGTATAATATATACACAATGAACATAATTACATTTGTACACAAACTAAGTACTGGATTGAAAACCTGCTTATTGCTGTACACACCCTAAGCCCATGAAGGAAAAGCCCAGTACCTCAAAATACCTACACTCCATTTGAGTCAAGAAAAAGTAACCACTAACATTAATGTCTATGTTGACAGAAGTGTGGCAGTAACTGCTGACATTGCAACCTGACCAAGAAATCATTACAGCAGAAACAGGACATCTTTTACTAAGCAAGAATAAAAATGGCACATTTTAAATATATCTATATGTATATATATATAAAAATTTTACAAATAAATTGTTAAAACAAGAAACTGTCATGTTTCAAAAGTGTAAAACAAGGTTTAGTGGTGATATGTAAAATTAACCGAGTTATGCATCTAAAAGAAGCAAAAAAAGTAAACTTACATGATCCAACATGAAAAGAACATTAAATTCTGAAGAACAGCAAAGAAAGTTGTGACTGTAGGCTGCACATTAAAAAGAGCCTTTATTTTATATGCACAGGAATTGTAGCAGCAAGCTGGTATCAGGAGAACAATCTGAAGGTTGTTGAGTGTACACGTGGGCCATTTAAAGCTCTCTTGGAATAAACATTTTCCAGGAAGTGAGAAAACGATGCTCTGTGGCCAAAAGCATCAGAACTATGAATTTCATAGATTTAAAATATACTGTACAGTGTCTTCTCATATTTTCATAGCTCAGGTCCATACATCTCAGGCATGAATTGTTTCAACAGAAGCCGTCAGTGCTGAAAGACAGACACAGATTAAGTTACATTTTTCAGCAACAGAATATTGTCTGAAGAACTCAGGGGATTAAAGAATTCCTGACCTCATCCTAGCAATGTAGGTGTAGAACATAATAAAGTATCTTAGAAATCAGTTGTTCCCAAAATGTGTTTTCCTGATGAATAATACTGCTGTCAAGGTATTTCAACAGAAAAAAGGAAAAAACAAGATTTTTTTTTTGCAAATTTACACTACTTGGAATAAAAGTCTTCTTCCTCTGAGAGTTTTATATCCTGTTACACATGGTCACCTCCAAATGCTCTTCACCTAAAACCAGTAAGAACAGCAAAGATCCTCACTAGTCTCAGGCATGCCAGGCACATTTTGAAGAGGGATGCAGAATTATTGTGTTGCTCCACTGTACTGGCAGCACAGTCCAAGTGCTCCACCCAGAGCTTGCTGTATTTTGGTAATTGCTGCAAGGACATCTATAAATAGCTTTTAACAGTTCGTTGGTAAAAATGTTCCTGGGCTTTGAATCCAGGTGCTGCATAAAATTTCATTATCCCCCCATTGCTCAGTGCAAATGCAATGTTTAAAATCTAACAGGCTTGGTGGCACACACAGAGATTTGTCTCTGCAAAAATAAGGGCTGTGACAAAAAAAGGAGCCTTGTGTTCAGGGCTTTCTCCTTAGTCCAGCAATATCCTGTGCCACCAATTTCCTGTGGCAAATTCCCCTGGCACCGTGCCAAGAGTATCATTTTTCTAATTGACTGTAAAAGCCAAATACAGGTATTACCTCTTCATCCCCTGAAATCTATTACACACTTTCCAGATGCTGCCTGAAAAATTCGGTTCCATATGACCAGGGCTGATCCTACAGCTTGGAAGTTCCCTTTGCCTCTCAAGACTTGCTGCCAATGAGGGACATGCTGAATTCGTGTAGGTTAAAAAATGTGCCAAAATCTCTCAGCAAAGCCCTGCAAGGCTGGAACCCCAGGCCCAGGGGGTGCAGGGCAGTGACCACTGCAGGCAAGCACTGTGCCCCATCCCTCTCCTCTTCTGTAAGCCCAGCTCAGGGCAGGAATTTAACTGGCAACTCCCAAAGGAAAGAACCACGAGAGGCACCAAATGCAGGGCGTGGAATGGACACAAACACAGCTCAGAGCCCTCCCAGCTCCACCCAAACTCTGAGCAGCCCCAAGGGACGTGGCTGCAGCTCTGGGATCCTCTCTCCATCAGGGTGAGGCTTGTGCAAGCACAGAATCAGAGTGGCAAGTGCCACTCCAGACGGACCCTTCTGCAATTAAAGCAATTAAAGCAATTAATGAAAGCCTCTTCAGAGGCTGGGGAGGGCAGAAGTGTCCTCAACACAGAAATGCTTCACCTGCACCACTGTGGGGACTCACCTCACCAGGGGGGGAAAGCCTTTTCCTATTCATTTCTAATTTATTTAGCATGAATCCTAAAGGAAATGAATTTGCTGGCCTGACCGTGTGAGCTGAAAGCAGCTTCATGCCATCGCTGATGGATTTGTGGCTGCTCCCCCCTTTGCTGACAGGTGCCCTGTGCCCACACACAGAACCCTGCAGTGCAGTTCCACTGTCACTACTGACCCCAACCTCAGCTCAGGGGGGAATGTCTGTCCTAGTTAAAAAGAAAATGCATGATAAATGTGTGTAATTTGTACAGTGAACCTGGAAAGCATTAACACAAAGCAGTATTTCCAGAAGAAAAGTCCCACTCGTTGTTTATTAAATAGTTCTGTAATTAAAATTTCGAATAAAAGTATAAAAATTCTGATCATGGCAGACCACACCCATCAGGAAGGCAGGAGCAGTGTCAGGACTGAACGTGAAGATGGCATTTGGCACTTTCACAAAAGGAGAAAATACTTTAATAATTTTCCTTTTTTTGAAGGAGTATTAATAGTTTACTGCCCTTAGTTCATATGAGAAATGTCTCTGTGATGACCAGTAATTCTAATTTTGCTAAAATGAAACCTTGGCAATTGAGACCAGGGAGAGTAAATTTTAAAAAATGAATTTTCAGATCTCCTCATGCTAAATGACTGAAAATGTCTCAATTCTAAATTGTTCTTGATTTTAAAGCTTTCTTCAGTTACACTTGCTATGGCATTTAACATTTCCATTGAAACAAAGCTCAATCTTTCAGCAGAAACCTTATTTCAACAGACACTTCTGACAACAAAGCAATGTGGATTGATTTAAATGCTGGTAAAGTGCTGAAGCATTCACACTGATATCCTGCTAATTTTGTTAAACACTTGCCTAAACAAACACACACTTTTTATTTCCATTGCCATTCATTAAGTGGGTAACACCACAGGTAGGAACATGTAAATCCAGCTTAACCAACTTGACTCCTAGAAGCAATCACCCACAATGCCAGCAAAGAGCAGCTGGGCAGCAAAGAAAAGCTGTACAGCTTTCCTCAATAAAATAAAATAAAATAAAATAAAATAAAATAAAATAAAATAAAATAAAATAAAATAAAATAAAATAAAATTTTAAAAGTTTTGTCATTGTTTCAATGTCTTCAGCCATAAATTCCTCAGCCCATTCCCTCCTGGGCATCACCAAGTCTGAGCCCTGGTTGCCCACTGTGCCCATGCCTGAGGCATCAAGGATTCTGTGCAGCTTTAAGCCCCTGGTTTGTACCAGCCCAGGGTAATTACCCTGCCAGTTGTGCAGGACACACCTGAGGAACCCATCAGCCCTTTCTCCTTGCAAATGCACTCTTTACAAACAAATCCATGCACAAATTTGTTTGTTTTCTGGCTGATTTCTATTCAACACTGCAGGCAACTCTGTCTTGCTGAGTATCAGCTACAGATGTTTCTCACAAAAACAACAGCAGACAAATACCTGGCAGAATATTAGGAACAGGAGAGGTGGGAAACAAAAAAAAAAAAAAAAGAACAGAACGTACTTGTCTGGAACTATACACACATGAAATGGGATCCTTCTGTGAGCTGTGGCTGTGTGCATGGAGCTGGTGACAAGGACGATTCTGGTGAGGAAGGCAAACTTTTCACTGCGAGTCATCCAACAAAATAAATAAGAATACAAGTTACAGAAGCCAGAATAAAGATAAGCTTGAAAAATCACCGTTTCAAGCCAGAGCAAATATAAGCAGAAACAAATGAAAGCTACACAAGTAAAGGCTTAAAATCTGATCAGCACAAAAAAAAAAGCACAGCTTGAAAGGAGAGCACAGTTGATCCTTAATCAGGCTCAAAAATAACTAATACAGCAGCAAACACATGAATGCTGATGTTTTATGTTGCCAAGAAAGAGAGGAAAAAAAAGAGTAAAATTTAAGTAGTTGGGATAGGCCCAGACCCACCTTCACAGCCCAGCTCAGATGAACTGAGCTTTTTCATTCTGCTGAGCAGTACAAAATGTACATCCAAGTTCTGGCTTTGATTATTGAGTCACAGAAAGGATTGCTGACTGCACTCCAAAGGTCCAGATCACCTTTAATATCCATAAGTTGAACCATTTGGCTGCCTTAACCATTCCCATCAGCAAATACCCCAACACTGCCTCGAATTCTGTCTCCTCCCTCCCTGCTCACTCCCCCCTTTTCTGCACAGTTTTTCTTTATTCCACTTTTCTCTTCTTGCACAACAGTCCACCACAGCCACATGGTGTTTGCTGTTTTCTTCATCTTTCTAACTCCTCAAATCATGGCCAAACTGGGGTCTTGCACTTGCTAGTTTACAATATTGGAAAGTCTCAATAATTCCACTATTTTGGGCAGAGCTAAGGTCACTCAGCAGCAGGGAGTAACAGTAAAAAGTCTACACATACCCAGGACTGAGATGAAAAAAGGAAGGATTTGCTCCAACCAACAACTACAGTATGACTCAATATCTGGCAACAGTTATTTAAATCCCTGAATTAGCAACTATAAAAGCTATATTAAAACCTCAGAAAAATGGAATTTCTGTAGCTGTCCACTGGGAAACTATTTTTCTGTACATTATAAAACTGTACACTTCACATGCAGACTAGCTCAGCATTTTCAGTTCACAAGGGTTTCAGAGCATCAAAAGACACAATCAAAATGAAATAAAGTTTTACATATGTACTGGCTAAGTTGTGCTTCATTCAAACTCTTTTCCATACCTGCTGCTGCCTGATTTCCTTTTGAAGACTGTGCTGCAAATTCAAATGAAGACACAATCGCTTCTTGTTCTTGAACACTAAGTATTTCACTTTCTTCTGAGCTGGTTTTGGGTTTGTGGTTTGCAACTGTGGTCACATTCTGCAAGCTGCTTGAAAAAAGCACAGCATTTAGAACTGCTCTAACTTAATTTCAGGTGTTAACCACCAAGTAAAGCAGCTATAATTTAATTTTCTCCTGTTAATAGAAAAAAAAAGTTGCAACTTGCAAGTCCAGGTAGTATAAATTAAGCTGGCATTTTGAAACCCTTCTGCTCTGTGTGGCTACACTTTTAAAAAAGCACCTGGGATTGAATTCCTTTCCTTTGCACACTCCTGCAGCTTCCTCCTGCTGAAGGGTCCTGTGACAAAATTACAACCCAATGTGAGAACTCACTTAGGACCTGCACTGCAACTTCACTAAAGTTTTGGATCATGAGAGAGAAATATCCAATAATAATCCTCCTCTGATTGTGCAATGCTGCAAAGTAGTGAGGTGAAAATTAAAGCAGGAGATGCAGAGTAAGATGTTTAGTTTGCTCCTCAATATCAACAATAAAGAGCATGCTATGGAAGCACTGGCTGAAACGTTCATAATAAATGGATATAAAGCTTGAAGTGACTTTATTAAACACATTTTAGAGGCCAAAGCAAGGATTATGAATGGATCCTGTTTATAACACCTGAAAAATAAACATTGTTTCACCCACCAAGTCATCAACTCTGACTGAAGGCCTGCAGCAGTTCAGCCACTCAAAACCATATCAAATAAAGCTTTTCAGTATTTATGGCAACTGCTTGGTCCATCCAGCCAATAAATACAACATGCACGTTTAAAATAGCCTCTGAACATCTTGTTTGATTTTTACCTTATATCACCATCATGTGTTTCTTCCAATTTATTTTTCTTTTCTGCTTTCTCTTCATTACTCCCTTCTTTTGAGTCAGATACAACATGTGCATCTGATAAAAGATCATCGGTTTTTGACAGCTATAAAAAAATTGAAATCATGAAACAAAAAAGCTGTAACACACACTAAGTGGCAGATAAGAAATACAGTACCAGGAAACAGTTTTATTAACAGACAAATTTGGCCATCATGTATACTTAGTAACTCAGAATTACATAACTTCAGAAATTTTTATCAATACTATGCAGGTTAATAGAGTTATCCTAAAACTTATACCAGAGGCCATGGGCAGGGTTTGATTTAATAACTTCCAGAATTTATCTGAGCTCCCTGGATTGCAGCCTGCCTGCTTTCTCATGCTATCCCTCTCCTCACAATGCCAACAAAAATTCCACATGCTCCAATATTTTCTTGGTAGGACTGAATGCTGTTCTCAAAGTCTGATTACATATGAACAATTTGAGTGTATTACATCATTTTCCTCTTGAAATATTTGCATATTTAACAAAGCAACAGTCTCTCAATAAGGAAGGGTTTCTAATGGATAACAATATAAATTAGTTATTTGATTTTATGCCATTCTCCATCAGATATGTATTTAAAACTAAATATAAAACAGGAAAACAAAAGGATGATTAAACAAAAGAACGACTAACTGAGGAATATGGGTATAGAAAAAGAAAAAAATTCTATACAATACTTTAAAAAAATATTGAACTATAAAGAGAAAATGATTATGTAGAAGCAGCTCCACTAATCCATTCTTCACAGTCTGGCTTTGCTGAGGGTTAGGGGCATTTTAGTACCAGAAACACCAAAGTAATTCTGTGCTGAGCATGTTTCAAAGTATTTCAAGGCAGAAATCAAAGCAGTGACAAAGATCTGAAAGTCAGATGTTACCTACTGCCATGTACAATTTGTTGTGTATAGAAAACAGCTTTATTCTGCTTTCCAGAAACTGTTTGATGCACTGCAGCCAACCAAACAAAAATTCAGGGACAATAAATGGCTGTCAAAAATCACACTAAGGTAGCCTAAGCAATGAATATGTCAATGATTGTTATTTAAAGATCATATACAAGAAAATTCAGTGTCTCAGCTCTTGACAGATCTGCTACAATTCTGTGATTTTCTATGGAATATTTTATATCCAACAAGGGAATATTGTATATCCAACAAGGGAATATTTTATATCCAACAAGGGAACTTTCCCATCCTCTGGGCTGTGTGTGACAAAATTGTTACTGCAGGACAAGCAGGGGAATGGATTCACAGGGAACAGCTCTGTACCTCTTTAGTAAAACTTGAATTATGTTCTTGATCTCCATCATTTTTCAGCTGTTCTGTTTCTTCTCCAGGACTTCCATTATTTTGTTTCAAATTATTTTCTCTGCTGGTGCTCTCTGCCTCCTTCACGTTGGCAGACCCTGCATCATCTTTTTTACGATTCTGTGGGGTAAAATTGGAACATGGACACGTTGTTACAAAAATTATCACAGCCTCACTTCTGAGCCTTGTGCTGTCCTCTGACTGATTAAAAAAAAATACCTGAAAAAAGCTTAAGCATAGATTGGAAATAATAAGGAAAATGGAAATTATTAAGGACTGGAATTTTCTTATTTTTACCTTTGGAAACAGTTCAGCCTGTCCAACATTTCTTTGCCTGTAAGGTTATTGTACTTTCTGCCCCACCTTCCTCTCCAGCATTTCAAAGTCACCCTTAATCTTCTGAAATTTCATTCATATTTAGCTCAGTCACAAATCAGCTTAGCAGCATTCTTCCTTGCATTCATAAGCACTGCTCCTTTCATAAAATATCTTTTTCTGGTTTAAGGAACAAAATTGATAAAAATCTGCTTTCAGCACAAAATTCCCAGTGCACCTGCATGCACTTCCTCCAATTATCCTGGGTATCCTCCAAGCCTGTGATGTGAACTGATTTAATAGAGGACAACACAGTATCTGAAAATGGCAGAGGATATTAATTATATCTTAAAAAAATAAAAAAATCTGTTGTGCAGAGAATAAGTTGATATAAAAGTTTTGAGGAAGGATGGCAGAGGTGAACCATGACATTGGCAGACCCAAAGGGGGGCTCATCTGAGAGTGGAGCTGACAAAAATAGGAGCCATGGAAGCAGTAAATCTCCAAGCTGAATTCCTGTGATCTAACACATGCACTCCATTAGAGGAAATTCCACATAAGTCACTTCATAAATCAGTGCCTTTGCTCTCCTAAATTAAAGTGTGCAGCCCTTATCATATGCTTGTCCCAACAACAGTCGTGAAGCAACTTCCTTTTGTATTATGGTAATCACTTCAAAATTACACAGCAGGCCATTTATAAAATCCCTTTTCCCCTCTGATTCTTAAATAACCAAACCACAGTGGGAAAGATTTCCAGCAGTTAATGCCACTGCACCACTTCTCTAAAAATCAATAGACATAAAAACGATGCTTTTAGAAATAAAAGCTATTACTCAGCATAATAGCTCACCCTGGGGCCTTCAGCCAAATAACATTCTGGAAGAATTAAAGTTATAATAGGAAAAAGTGACTTTGTAACATGGACTGGTAGCTAAATACTCAATTCAGAGATCTCCCCCTCACTCTATAAATTCCTTATTATAAACCACAGCCCTGATTTCCCAGAGCAGCATTGCTGTCATTCGTGGCACAGATCTGGCTGATGTCACAAACTCTGCTGGCCTGGGCTGGGTACCAGGGCTGACACAACTTCCCCACCTGGAGGCATCAAAGGGGGAAGAGGCAAAGCTGAAACCCCTCTGCAAAAGCTGCTGAGAGCAAAGCCTGCAAAGCTCAGCTGCTGGACAAAGGCAGCACAGAAAGATCTGCACGAGTTCCCTTCAGCAGCAGCGTCTGGTGGCAGCCCCAAGGCACATCCTCCACTGCAAAGGCTGAGCTAAAATTCTGAGCTCTTCTGGGGATGCAAAGTTGTTGAAGAAAAAGTAATTTTTGTCAAGTTCTGTACCAGCTCATCATGCTGAGAGGGGAAAAAAAAAACCACAACCCAAAATGCAAAGGTAAAACATCTTTGGAAACACCTGATTTCCTGACACTGCAATGGATTTAACCTGCTGTTGGAAAATCAGATGTTTAAATGCCTACAAAACAAAAAAAGAAGGCATTTCCATACCAGTAGAAAAGCAAATAATAAGAGTCAGTGAACAGTGTGGCCTGAAGAAAAAAGTATTCCAGAAGATTAAAAACCCAAAGAAACCAAAACCCCAAAGAAACCAAAAACCAACCAAAAATCAACTCCATTAAGCTACTGGAAAAGAAAACCAATTGTAAATATTTAGAAAGTAGCAGGCTGCCTAATATCTGCTACCCTGTACCTGGGTTTGGTTTGGCTTTTTGGATTTTGTTAGTTTGGGGTTTTTTTTAGATATATATTCAGAATAATATTTCCTGCTTAATGACAAGCAGCTATATCCTTTATCTTCCTCCTCTCCCCATCCTTTACCCATAAACAAACTTTTTAGGCAAATCAGCCTAAAAGAATGAGTGAAACAAAAGTGTGGGTTTTATTTTAATATATTTATGGGCTCAAACACACAGCAGAAGAGCACCACTTAGGAGCTCTGATCATAAATACACATTCCTACCTAAAAATGTTACAGATGTTTGAATAACATGACACAGCAGAAAAATCAGCACTGAACTTCATTTGAGCATCAAGGGGGTCACGATTCTCCCTGATCTTGTTTTTAGTCAAACCTTACAATTTCACATTGTTTGCTACAATTAACCAAAACTCCCCAATGTCACCAAGCATTGTGTAACCACAGGGATGTGGGACTGAAGTGTTTGTTTTCCAGAAAGGCAAAGAAAATCCTTCCATCACCAGGTGTGAGCACAAAGGCTGTGCTTGTGAGGTTGAGACTGCACTGAGTCTCAGATAAACTCCTTTGGTTTTTATCTGGGCACACCAAATAAACTCCTTTGGGTTCTACCTGGGTACACCAAATAAACTCCTTTGGTTCTCACCTGGACACACCAAATAAACTCCTTTGGGTTTTACCTGGAAACATCATCAAATAAATGTTTTTTACCTGAGCACACCAAATAAACTCCTTTGGTTTTTACCTGGACACACCAAATAAACTCCTTTGGTTTTTACCTGGACACACCAAATAAACTCCTTTGTTTTTTACCTGGGCACATCACCAAATAAACTCCTTTATGTTTTACCTGGACACACCAAATAAACTCCTTTGGGTTTCACCTGGACACACCAAATAAACTCCTTTGTTTTTTACCTGGACACACCAAATAAACTCCTTTATGTTTTACCTGGGCACACCAAATAAACTCCTTTGGGTTTTACCTGGGCACACCAAATAAACTCCTTTGTTTTTTACCTGGACACACCAAATAAACTCCTTTATGTTTTACCTGGACACACCAAATAAACTCCTTTGTTTTTCACCTGGACACACCAAATAAACTCCTTTGTTTTTCACCTGGACACACCAAATAAACTCCTTTGTTTTTTACCTGGGCACACCAAATAAACTCCTCTGTTTTTTACCTGGGCACACCCAAGCTGTTGCTCACCTGTGCCAATCTGAATGGGTTGTCCCTGGCAGAGCTGGAGCTGTGGGCAGGAGCCTGCTCAGGAGCACCAAGGATGCTGAGTCCTTTCCTCTTGTCTCTCAGACAAGCCTGCTGGTGTCTCTTTATTCTCTCCATCTGCTCCTCCAGTGTCATGCGAGGCCGGGGCCCCTCTGCCAGGCACAGCTGCTCCACTGCACTCCTTGGTCTTTCCTTCAATGCAAGAAAATATATACATGTGCTTCAAAAAAAAATATAACATTTCAGACTGGTAATCAGCAGAAGAGATCACCTAGTGATTTCTTAAAGAGCAGAAAAAACGGTGGGCAAATAAAGACCTCCTATGTATGTGAAAAAAAAAGGTATAAAAATCAATGATCAATAAATGAACACTGAAATTCAAAATAAATGGAAGGAATAGTTTGCTCTTCTGAACAAAAACATTACCATCACCAATGAGAAACACTGAGAGAATGGGTGGATGCTCTCTCAAGCTGAAACAATTTATCAGACATTATAAACTGGCAAACACAAAATATTTGACTAAGACAGAAACATCATTGAAAGTTAATGATCCAGGACATTTATACCAGTTGATCTAATAGTAATTTCTGCCTTTTTATTTCGAGAAAAGCTACAGCTGGGCATCATTTAACTGCAAGTGCAGGCTGAAACAAAGTGACTTTATTACCACTTAAAAATCTGTAATTCTAACCATTATATTTTCCCCAAAATAACACTCACTTAGGTACCCTTCTCCTGAAATTCACTGCTTTTCAGGCAGGTTTGTGCTCTTTATGACAAATAAAAATCGACTTCAGGCTAATCAGCTGCACTGAGCACACTGACAGTAACTGATTTCAGGTAGGAAAAGTTTTATTCTGGGAGTTTCTCTCTCCTCTCCCAGTCTTCTCACACCTTCTGTAACAATGGCAAAGATTTTTCTCTCCTGTGCATGAACTATTAATGTGTGTCTTTGACCTGGCACTACAGAACTGTGTAATCTGAAATTTTGGGTTTATTACCTGCATCCTGCTCACTGCATCCTCACCCTGCAGCTGCTTCAGCTGTTTCCCAAATCAACTGAGTATTGAAATAAATAAAAGGGGCTGTTAAATTGCCAAATACAAGTGTTTGAAAGATCCTTCATGTGCTTTCCACTCAAGCCTGGACTTCAGCAGATCAGTAGATTTATCATTTATTTCATACACAGCATTTATAATTTTATCATTCTTTCCAAAGCTGTCTCCACAAATCCAGTATATAATGCTTTTATAACAGTGATCTTTACTTTTTTTTTTTTTGGTAAAGAAAACAAAAATGACTTCAACTTTTACAGTAACTACCAAACTTCAAAATGACCATGTCCAATGCTCAAAGGTTATTTTGCAGTACCGTTCTGAGATCGAGCTTCTTGTTCTTCCTCAGAGTGACATAGGATGCAATTGTTGAGGACTCTGGCGTTGGGGATTTGGTTCTGGGTGGCACAACTCCCACAGGGAAATGTGAGCCTGCAAAACAGCAAAGCAACACCCTGAGAGCTGGGCAGAACTCTGCCAAAAGTGCTGGTTTGTGCTCTAGAACAGACCCACTGCCAGCCCTGGGACATCAAATAAATCAACTGCCAGCCCTGGGACATTAAATAAATCAACTGCCAGCCCTGGGACATCAAATAAACCAACTGCCAGCCATGGGATATCAAATAAATCAACTGCCAGCCATGGGATATCAAATAAATCAACTGCCAGCCCTGGGACATCAAATAATCAAGTGCCAGACATGGGACATCAAATAATTAAACTGCCAGCCATGGGATATCAAATAAATCAACTGCCAGACATGGGAATGCTCCTCCAAAGGCAGATCCAGAGAGAGACACTGGGAGAGGATGGGTGGCACTGGGAATGGATGGGCGGCACTGGGAGGGGATGGGTGGCACTGGGAATGGATGGGTGGCACTGGGAATGGATGGGCGGCACTGGGAGGGGATGGGTGGCACTGGGAATGGATGGGTGGCACTGGGAGGGGATNGACACTGGGAGGGGATGGGTGGCACTGGGAGGGGATGGGTGCAGACACTGGAGGTCCCACAGCTCCAGGATTTTGTGTTCACAGCTCGTGGCTGTGTGAGTGAAATCTGAGCCTGGGCAGTGACAACAGGAGCTGGGGATATTCTGCTATAAACCAACAGTTTGGGTCTCCTTCAGACACAGAAAAGGATCAAACACAGCAGAATTCCATTTTATTTTGTGCCATCTTTATGTACCACACAGGTCACAAATGTTCCTCATTTCTTTTTAACTGCTGATGTTTGAAAAGAGAGGGAAGTGGCTGCCATGAGAGGGGCTCAGTACAGCAATGTGCACAACCACGAGAAAAACCTTGCAAAATTTCCTCTGACATTATTTCTTTTCAGAACCACCCTCAACAAGAAACTACCATCATTTAATTATGGCTTCTTAAAACAGCAAGATAGAAAAAACTCAGAGATGAGCTGCCTTTAAGTTTCTTTCCTTATCAACATAAAAACTTAAGAACAGAATGGCACAAAAATGTTTCCTGGACCAGCACAGATCTGTAATGGCTCACACACTGTAAGAGAACTGGAACAATCAGAAATGATTATTTTCCCTAATGCACAGGGATTGTTACTATGAGTGAATGCCCAGAACAAGAAATGTCTGTTAGAAAAGTCTTATGCTCAAATGATAAATCACAGCTCTGATAAATACAGACTGAAGGGAGTTTTAGAATCCACAAAGCCTCTCACAGCTTGCTACCACTGCAGCCTATTCTGCTCCACACCTCTAAATATTATTTATCTTAGAGGAATTTGCACTACACTGCTTTCCCTGACTTGAGGACTGTTTTTCTACAAATGGATGTAATAAAATAATTTCTGTCTTTGAGATAAAAAGCAGACAGGGGTGCTTAAAAAGTGTTGGGTTGCTTTATATAGTCATTGTGGATGTTCTTATTTTGTCTTTATCATTACTTCACCTCTGGACATAAAGTACTGTGAATAATCAGAAACATCACAGGTCAATAAAATCTAGGCAGTTGTCAGAAAGACAAGTTTCTCAATTTAGGTCATTGATGATTAGCAAATCTCAGAGTAAATATTCCATTTTTCACCACCAAGTTAACAGAAATTTAATTATGTGCTTTAACGTTGTATCTGAGCAAATACCCCAGGGAATCTGAATTGACAAACTGTGTGCTAAGTGCAAGCTTATTTATATCACAGGGCCATTCACATAATTCATACCCAAACTGTATGCTAACCTTAGCTTTAAAATCCTCAGTGACCATTCTGCTGAAAACAGTATCTTTGTACAATCGTAATTCTTGGTAAAATTCTCTTGTCATTGCCTCAGCCTGCTCTGTGAAGCACCAAAGCACAGGGCAGTTTTAGGGTAAAAAACCAGCTAAGTTCAGGTTCCTTTTCTCCAAGCTCTTGTTGTGTTTTTTTGGGAGGAACTAAAGCTGAGCATTTTCCTGAAGTCACCTTTAACAAACTATTCTGTGTGTTTTAACAAACAGAATTGAGAAGCACTTCCTGGTAAAAGACTCTAGCAAGCAATTAGTAGCTTTTAAGGGAGCTAGATGAAGAGAAGAATCTAAAGCATTTAGCAATTGCAAAGACCTTTATTGTCTGTACACTCCAAGGTCATGATCATTATTCCTATTATATCACAGGACAGAAGGCAATTCAACAATTACAAGATTAAAAAAAAAAAGAAAAAGACATTGTTTCCCTGCCTTATGAGAGCCTGAAAATTCTGTGGTGCTGCCTTTTTGGACGTTCCAGCAACATAACATCGGGAGCTTGATTCAAAAACTGAGTAATTGTTCAAGGGCAAGAACGTAAAATGGGTAATTGTTCAAGGGAATGGTGTGTGGGGAATGTGAGTGATGTGATTAGACATGGTGTCAATAAGGATTTCAGGGTTGTTGCTGAGTGTAATGTTTGATTTTTCTGCGGTGTAATTGTCTGAAATTTCTCTCGTCCTAGAATTAAATCGTTATTTTATCGTGGAAGCTGTTCCATCAAACTGAGAATGGACACGACCCACGAGGCAGCTCCTACAGCACAGCTGAGCTCTGCATTCCCTGTGAAAAAAAAGCTGCAAAGTTGTAAAGGGCACAAACCTTTGCCAGAAGATTCGGATTCTGAGACTGGCTCTGTTTTTTCTTCACCATTAGACTCATCCACTTCTGCTACTGTGGTCAGCTCGGGCTCGCTCTTATAAAGCCTGTAATCAGGACCCTGAGGAACACCAAGGCACCAGGTAAATAAACAGCATTTTGCTACGGGCACTCATGTCTTAAGACTCAAAACCAATTATTTTGTGCTAACTCTGCTCTCACTTGAAGTGTTCCATCGTTCAAGTGCTGTGGCAGGAGTGGTTTTTTGGGAGTTGCTTTGAGTAGCAACATTTGCAGACTATCAGGAATTGCAGGGAAGAAATTGCCACGGAAAGGCAGAGTTGTGGGGTTCTTTTTTAAAACGATCTTCTGCAAAGAAATTGATATAAGCTTCAAAAACTGAGCCCAGAGTTTTTTAAAGAACCAGTGAGGAGAAGAACCTAAACCTGTGGAATTTAAGTCTTAAGACACTCCATATATGCACAGAACATATGGCAGAAGAATGTGAAGAGCAAACGATGCAGCTGTAAACGAAACAAAATAAAAATGAAACCACAAGACAGAAGGAGGCAGATGAGCAAACAAAAAACGCTGACTGTGCAAAGGACGGGGGGGAGGAGGATGCTTCAAGAACAACGTGGCAGCCCCAGCCACTTACACAGTAAGATCCATTTCTCTGATATCCTTGCACTTGGTACATCCTCTTCTCTTCTGTCAGATGTACTGGGCCCCTGCTATAACAGAGCAAGGAGCTGCTATCACTGGGCAGAGGGGGGATTATGGGAGGATGCTCTGTAAAGTCATAGGACCGAGGGAGTGGAGGACGAGGTGGGACTACTTCCTCTTCCTAAAGATTGTAGAATAGTCACCTTATTTAGACGTGTGCACCTGGTACAGTTATTTATAACTCAAAGACAAAAAGATATTACCATGGCTACAGCAGCTATAGATTTTGCAGTTAAAGGGACACTGTCACATTTAACAAAAAAAGTAAATAATTCTAACACCTGCACTTGCTGTTGGACACGTACAAAACTCTCTAAATCTTAAAAAAATTACATCCATTCTCTTTTGAAAGATTTTTATATAGAGGAGACTTTTAGAAAGTAAGTCAGATGTATCCTGCATCCACTTTAGATATCCATGACAATGTCCCTTTAAAACTGTAACTTCCAGCCAGATTTTCAGAGGAATTGAGCATTTGGGAGCTCCCACAGCTTCAGATCTTCCTGTGGGTGCTCTGGCCATCTGAGAACCAGGCTCAATATCTGAATAAACACAAAAAGCAATGTATTTCTTCCCATGAGAAGTGTGGTGGGTAGAAAACATATCCATAAATCAGGGTTTATATTTCTATGGTAAGAGCCTAGGGAGAGGAAAAGGTAAGAAATGGAAAAGAGAAAGATACCAGTGAGAATACAGAGACACAGTACAATTGAGTGTTAGAATTACTAGTGGAGGTATCAGTCTTGAAAACTAGTTCATAAAGTGGTGTTTTTACAGAAAATAATACTGAATACATCCTTCAGACAACAGCCTTAAAATATTCACAATAATAATGCTTGTTTTTGTCACAGCCATATTACAACTTCCATAATGCTAAAATAATAAATATGCTAAAACCATACCTCATTTTTATATTTAATAGAAGAAAATGTCCTTGATACCATGATGCCTGTTTGGGGAAAGGGGGAAAGGTGTAGGGAAAAAAAAGAGAAAAATGGTTTTCAATAAACAGCTTTGAAAAGATGAACTATAACCTGTTGCTATCAAACAAATACACCAAGCATCAACTTCAAGTGGTATTTGCTTTGTTCTTTTCTTAGCCATTGTGCCATTTTAAATGGAGCAACAATGGAGCTTATGCTTTAAAAATTTCTCTCACCCAATCTCATTTCCTGTGTGACAAAACCATTGCTCACCTGCCTCAGAAGAGCTCCTCTGCTGTTTGTGTTTCAGTAAACCCTCCATGACATCCTGAATTCTCCACAGCTCCTTCTGAATCTGAGCACGTTGAATCCCTGCTGATTCAGTCTGCAGCAAATAAACAGCAAATATGGCCAGCACATCAGAATCCATTGCAATTGGGGGAAAAGAAAAAAAAAAAAAGGGAAAAACCTTTCTCACTGCATATCCTCTCACAGAGAAGGATAAAGTGCAGCAATGACAGACACTCTCCCATAAAACATTCAAGCATTGTCTGCAACAAAAAGTGTAAGCCTGAGTAATTTCATAATGCCTCAGCCAATCTGAGAGCAAGCTCCAATTTAAACTTCCCTTCAAGAACAGAATTTCATCTCCAGTCTCCAAGGAAAATCCAAGCAGACTTTGCACAGGGGACAGCCCCAGAAAAGGAACCATCACTTCCCACCCCAAACAGTGGGGATGATCACAGTGCTGCCATATAAATTGATTTACTTCTGCCATATAAACTTATTTATATCTGCCATATAAACTGATCTACATCTGTCATATAAACTTATTTATATCTGCCATACAAACTGATTTACATCTGCCATACAAACTTATTTACATCTGCCATACAAACTTATTTATATCTGCCATATAAACTTATTTATATCTGCCATATAAACTTATTTATATCTGCCATATAAATTGATTTACATCATCTGCCATACAAAGTGATTTACAGTCATGGGCATGCACACTGTGCAACAATCAATGCAAGTTTTCCAGATTTTGGGATTCTTTGTGATCTCTTTTGTAGCTGCACAGAAAATCAGCCCCTGGAGGGCAGAGCAGACCCCTGTGCCTGTCCCAAATAACCTGGGCACATCTGCACAGTTGCACATCTGGGTGTGTGTCACTGAGAGCTCTCCCTGGAACCCAGCACCAGCCCTGCCTGTCCTGCACTGAACACTCAGCACAACCCTTGCCTTGTAAGGCCCGAAGCAACCCCTAGAGCATTTTCTGTAAATATTTCTTTTGATAAAATGATTTTAGCTTAAAATATTCTATTAAATGGAAGGGTTTGAGCAAAGATGAAACAAAAAAAAAAAGGAAGCTTCCAGACACAGGAATACCAATATTTTAACATTATTATAACAAAGAAACAAAAACAAAAAAACCCCAAAAACCCAAAAAACCAAAATAAAAAACCCCAAAAAAACCCAGAAAAAAAGAGGTAAAACTGAAGGCTTCTTCAGAACTTACAAGGCAGAAAAAGAAATTAAAAGTTGCTGAGTTAATTCACCATTTGTCCCCCCTTTTTTCATTTGTGTCGTTTTAAAACTCACAGAAAGTCAAAGTTCTTTGAGTGTTCTTTAGGATCTTTGCCCCACCTGAATTTCCCCAAGCCGGTCCAGCTGCTCCTGCATGTGGTTCCTGGTTACAGTCACATCATATTCCAATTTATCATATTCTCTCCAAGCTCTTTCCAGTTCCTAAGTGTATAACAAATGTAAAGAATTATGGATGCACATTCAATTAGAAAAAAAAAACTTTTTTTTTTTCTTTTTTTGTTGGTATGAAGCTTCAGGAAGTAACACATCAATAGATACCAGCAATAAATAAATAAATAGATACATAATTTACAGAGTGCAATGTATAAACAGCTTTTTGATTTTCTCATGACACTGAATGAAATTCAAACAAACAGCATTTTGTCTTTTCACTAACAAAAAAGACAGACAAGGGCAAATTCTTCAGAAAACTCCTTTCTAGTCAGCAGGCATGGGGATCTTAAGCTGTCTTTCCAGCCAGGCAGAAAAGGCACAAAAATGGATGCAAATTTGTCTCTTTTATCAGCCAGAAGACACATGTGTGAGTGCACAGCATGTGTGTGCCCAGGCAGGGCATTGTGCAGGGGACACTCTGGGAAATATTCTGAATTTATTTTGTATTTTGTGCAGTGATGCTCATGCCCCAGGCCCATGAGCACATTGCTGCTTCACATCTGCAGCTGCCAGCACCACGAGGAAAAGCTGACAAAAAAAAATAAAATATATATTCTTCTTTGAGGTGAGCCCCACCACCTCACTTGTGCAGCCTACATCAAGCAATTGACTCATTTAGAGTCAATTAAAAAGTTAATGAGGGAAAGTGTATCCTGAGGATTTCCTTTCCCCTTGGTTCCTTTCTCCATGTCCAACCAATTCCTCCTACCAGGATTCCAGGGCTGACAGCACAGCAGCTACCCCTGGAATGTGACACTGAAATAAATACATTTGGATGGATTCTGTAAGCAGGAAAAAATGATTCCTTGTCATTTCAGCACAGAAACCATCACCACGTGGAAAAGGACAATTTCCTTCCTATCCCCTTTTTTTTTTTTTGGAAGTGCATAATTTGGAAGATCTTTTAAATGTAAAGGCTCACAATTAGAGGGACTATGGCAGTCCTGCAGCTGCTTTTGCTTAAAATAAGTCAAATAAAGTTTGTGCTGGACATTGTTTTATCATCACATGAAATAGCTTATTTGCATTAATTAACTCTTCTGTTATCAATTTCTCATATTTCAGAGGTAATAATTACCACACCAACTAAGTCAGTATGCATCCATTTCTGACCAAAACACAGAACAAAACAAAACAACAACAAAAAACAAAAACAGAAACAAAACAAAAAAAAAATCAGAGAAAGACCAGTCAATGATTTCCATCCACCTCTGGCACAACCACAAGCAATTAAAAGACAACTGAGCTTTTGTTGGGATGCAATAAAAATAAAATTAAAGCAAAAGCAAGGCAATGAGAACTATGAAGACAATGATTCCATGCAGTTTGGCTGAAGGGAGGTGGTGGCACTTACTGCAGTGGCTCTGGACACCTCCCTGCAGGTGCTGAGCAGCCCATTCTGTAAATCATCTCTCTGTAACACCACGGTCTGGATGGCTGCTGGGTTATCTGCATTCATTTCTATCTCCTGGCTTGCAGACAGCAGAGCTTGCTCAAGCGTGTACTATGGGAATAAAAAGAATTATTTTTAATGTTCTGCACGGTTGGGCTGATTTTGGTTTTTATTTCAGCTCTCAATGTTCTGATAATAAGCATGTAAAATAACATCCACTTTAGGTAATAAATACAATTGTCCTACTTTCTCCTTGTGTAGCTGTTGAAGCTTCTCCTCCAGTGCTTGCACAACTTTATCCTGCTCACACAAACGGCTGAGCTTAGCCTAGTGCAGAACAGAAAATCACCACAATTAGCATTTTGTTATTTGCACCTTCAGCCATCAAAATCGAACTTGATCAAATCACTACACGAGTCTCTAGAAAATGTTGTTAAAATAAGAATTCTAAAATGATGCAGGCATCAGTCTTGCATTTTCAAATTACTTAAGAAATCCTTTTAAGAAACTATTATAACTTGAAGCAGCATGGCTCAAAACATGTAATTTATGATTCTACAGCTAAATCTTTACAACCTAATAATAGGTATTAGATTCCATTTTAATTTACATATTGCTTAGTATTACAAAGACAATTTCATACATTCCCAGTCTGTCCCATGGTTTTTCAGGTGATTGTATCAAACAGTTCAAATTTCAGCCTAAAATGTAACATTTCCTGCAAGTCAGAAGAAGTTTATTACAGAGCCATGTCCTCTATATCATGATGCAATTTCTGTTGGCAATCACCTGCATGAAGTGGCTTTCAAACCCAAAAGCCAAGAGGAAAATTCTTGTCAAAATAAAGACACAAATAGCAGCATTTACAAGGAAGAAGGAATACAAATGACTTACATCAATGTCCAGCTCTTCAGTTCTATATTTGTATAGTGTACCCCTACATTCTTCTTGTGTTAACTATAAGGAAGAATAATATTGCCATAAAACAACTCAGTTGGACTGTGAAAATGAAAACTATTGCTCAGCTTAAGCTTTAACACAGAAATCAGCTTTGGCTTGAAAGGTAAACCTGCCACATTGAACAATACATATTTAGGCAATATACATTAATGAGGGTAAATAAATGGAATGTCAAGCAGACTGTCAGTCGAGCTGCATTAAATTAACAGGCTGTTCCTAATGCAAACTGGAGTTTCAAAGATGTACAACTCAATCAAACATGGATTATGTGGGGAGATGGAATTGCCAGAGTACATCTAAATAATGATGCATCACCGTGTCTAAGTTTTTAATATGAATTCTAAATACAGGGGCTCGTTCTACTCTGAATTAACCATTCCAGGCCCACTGGGCTCAGGGCTTTCACAAGCAGGGTGATCTGATGTGAAGCCAAAACCAGAGCAGAACGACCTCAGCTCACAACAGAGATGTAAATATCTTGTTAGAGATACAGCCAGGAAGGGCCAGCACTTTTCACAGGCATTTTTCATATGGATTTCCTACTTTTCATATGGATTTCCTACTTTTCATAGGAGTTCCTCCAACAGAGAATCACCAAAAATGCCACAAAGGGAAGCTCTTCTATTTTATCTTTGGACCTAGGCAAAATTGTCTCCTTGTGCTAGTCAGGATGCAAAATACCTCAAACTACTTTCACACAGCTCCTCACATTAAGTTCTTAACTTTTTCAATCTTTCACTGACCAGCAACAAGATTTTAAAATATTTTACAAGAAAAAAGGCAGCCCCTCATTTTAGAGTGAACTGTCACACACAGTAACTGCTTCACACTACCAACCTTTAAATTCTATTTAATTAAAAACATTGTGTGGACAGAGTCCCAACACAGATGCTTTCTTTCCACATGCCTGTCATAATTAGTTTTTTTTTTTTTTTGGTGACTTACAAGAAAGACTACTGAAACACAAGTCCACGTTAAGGGACACTTCAGAAATAAAAGGATCAGGGAAGGGTTCATGAGACAAGCATTCCCAACAGAAAACAAATCTACAACACACTAAAGTGTTTCATTTCACGACATTATGTCCACATACCTCATGCAAATGTACCTGGTGATAATTCAGAAGTATGAATAGTGTGTTAAAAACACACAATAACTTTCCTTGAAATGGACACTTCATGGAAATGAATGTTGGAATATGAAAAAAGCCACAGCATTTTTGCACCTCATGAATGTCACACAAATTAAGATATCTATTTAAACTCCCACTGTGGTAGAGTTGTGTTGTTTTACTGTTGATTTTATCACAATGAGAGAAAAATGAGGAATGGAAATATTTAAATAAAACTCATAAACATGGCCAAATGTCTTTAACTGACAGAGGAAACCAAGTTTTATTTCACAACAGAAAGGAAGATTATCCCCTATTAGATAAATACACCTTTCCAAGTCACTGCTCAGCATTTTATGTGGTTTGGCTGGAAAAATAGATTGCTTTTCCAAGCCAGTATTTTTAATACTTTTTCTAGAAGAGAGACATTCATTCTTACGTCATTTCAACCTTAATTATAGCCAAGTTTAAAAAAGTTTGCCAATTCAGCATCCCTATTCCTCTGAAAGGAATACACCTTAAGTATTCAGAAAAGGAAAACAGATTTTCAAAGAACACTATAGCTGTGCTAATTCTTCTTATTAAAATCCTGTCACACTTTTCAAACTGTTCCTGACTTCTTGCTTTGGTCAGCAGCACCAGCCCCACACAACATTCACTGCTGGAGCCCCTGCATTTGAACATTTCCACTGCATCATTTCACAGACTTAGCACAGAACCTGCCCAGATAACACAAATAACCAAATCCATCTGTGATAAAACAGCAGCTCCAGCTCTCCCAGCACAGCAGTGACTGCACTGCTGGAGAATCCCTGCATTTCAACATTTCCAGTGCAGTATTTTACACAGACTGAGCACAGAACCTGCCCAGATAACACAAATAACCAAATCCATCTGTGATAAAACAGCAGTGACTGTGCTGGGCTGAAAGTCCCTTCATTTGAACATTTCCAGTGCAGTATTTTACACAGACTGAGCACAGAACCTGCCCAAAGAACACAAATAACCAAATCCATCTGTGATAAAACAGCAGCTCCAGCTGTCCCAGCACAGCAGTGACTGCACTGCTGGAGAATCCCTGCATTTGAACATTTCCACTGCATCATTTCACACAGACTGAGCACAGAACCTGCCCAGATAACACAAATAACCAAATCCATCTGTGATGAAGAGCAGCTGCAGCTGTCCCAGCACAGCAGTGACTGCACTGCTGGGGATGTGCCCACATCCTGCTGGAGTGGCAGCAGCAACTGCAGCACCAGAAGCACACTGCCACCTCTGAGCAGGGCTAAGAGCTCACAACCCTGCAGGGTGACAGCTCCAGTGACCAGGTTATCACAATGTTCTCTGTGTGTCCCCTTGCACAAACGCCTCTCTGCTCCTGCACAGCCCTGGCAGTGACTCCAGAGCAAGAGTGCCATCTGCTGAACCAGCCACAGGAGCTGGCCTCCCTTCCCCTCCACATCTGCCTGCCTGGACACACCAAATCCACCCCTCTCACCTTGGGGAAATGCACCAAAACCCCCCCAGCCACGAGGGAGCAGCACCCTGAAACCACGGATAGGAGTCACCGTTCTTCAAACTGCACGTGCAGAGTTTGGCCAAAAAGTGAAAAGTGCATCTTGCACATGAAGAAGTACAAGTGACCTTCACTGGACCTCCCTCTTGGGTTACAAATCATCTGTCACCAGCTGCACAGTCCCCACCTCTGTCCCACACCAGCACCACATGATTCCCAGGAAGGAATCAGGAGGTCCCTGTGCTGGACACACCAAGAGGTGGCTGAGACAAAATTGCTTGGAACTATTCGAGTGGCTGACAGTAAAACCACTGAAGGCACAGCATTATTTCATTACTCTGCAAGCCATCTGCAGATTGCACTGTCTGTTCTGATTCAGAAAACATCTAGGAGGATGTTTCACACCCCAAAAGTGTGCTATGCACCTCTGTCCCTGTGCTGGACACACCAAGAGATGGCTGAGACAAAAGTGCCTGGAGCCATTCGAGTGGCTGATACTAAAAACATTGAAGGGACAGCATTATTTCATTATTTTGGAAGCCATCTGCAGATTGCACTGTCTGTTCTGATTCAGGAAATATCAAGGAGGATGTTTCACCATGCTATGCACCTCTGCAGGATCCTGCACTTAGGAAATTAGAACAGCACAACCTGGACTTTTTGTTATTGAGCACAAGATTAAAATCAAGACTTCCAAGAGGCTCTTTTGTTTACTTCTTGCTTTTAAAAATACTTCTTGCTATCAGGAAAAAGGGCAAATGGGCATTTAGCCCCATTAAGCAAGGTTTTCCTTTAATTTTGAATTCTGTGACATGAAACACTTCAGATACAAATTGAAAAGATTTTTAGATCGAACACAATCACCTTGTGTTCATAACAAAACCTGAAACGTCCCAAAATCTAACATGCTTAACAGTTTAAATGTATGCAGCTCCTATAACAATAATAATAATAAACCATAAGCAAAACCACCCTATTCTTATAGGGACAAAAAAACTTTAGGGCTATTCTTCTGTGTTTTAATGTATTAAGAACAATTATCCATAGCAAGAGCTGGATGTTAGCTTGTTGCACTCAGATTTTAATTTTTCTTCCTTAAGGGAACTCACACATTTAAGAGGAATTGAGGAAAATTTTGCTATTTAAAGTCAGCCTGTACTGCTTTACAGAAAAAGATTAGAGAACAAGAATAACATTCCTCATGTAGTATTAGAAAGAAGCAAAAAAACCCAAACCAAAGTAGAAATGGGTCTAGTCTGTAAAAATGTTTTTTTTTTCTTGTCTGTACATATGGAATAACTTCCCTGGCTTGTACTTGGGAATTTATAGCACAGCCTGCAGAGCAGACTGATGTAAGTCAAGTGATTTAAATAACTCTGAAGATGCAACAAAATCACAAACAAAAGTGCCCTATAAATAACACATTTAAAACAGTCGATGTTTGTGCTGTTTTACCAGAGAACCATTAATCATTACAAAAAGTAAGCAAGACAAATTAAAATACAAACTTTTCCTGCTTTCCTTTGCTAACTCTAAATGAGCTCAGACATAAAACTGAAGAAACTGAAGCTGAGGCAGATCCTTCTTTTTATTCACAGCAATGGTTGCAGTCATCACAAACTATTTGAACATCCTGACAACCAAACAAGTTTCAGTCACTTGCACAGAAGCTTCTCCCAATTATTTACATGTCTTTAAAACTGCAGCAGCAAAGACAACTGTTCAACCAATTTACTTTATTTGAATTAAAAATTATACGTTGCTCAGACTTTAAATAAGCTGCCAGCATTTTAAACAGGTTGGTTTTGCATTACAAAAGTTGAGAAGACTGTGTAGGCAGTGAAATTTTGAGTGTTATTTTTAGCCTGTCCTGAAAGTCAGTTAATGCAGCATCTCCTAGAGGAAACTTGACTCATAAAGCAGAGCCCGTGTCCCTGTCTCGAGTGCTAACAGCTCATTCAGTGCTCACGACCTGCTGGAGTCACAACTCCCCTGACAGGAATGGCAGGAAAGGAGATTATTCAGCAGATGTGCCTGTGAGGTGAGGGCAGACGCTGCTCTGACAGCAGTGGCACTTTCCTGGTATCCCCATGAGCAGATCAGCCAGGCACTGCTATCCCCAAATACTTTATTTAATGTTAGAACCTAAGGCTAACTGCCCCTGACACATCTAAACCCCCTCTGCTCATTATACACCACCTGATTTATTTGTCTTACATGCTCTATCACACAAAATTGACTTGCTTTAAAAAAACAAAACTCTAACAGTCAGGTTTCTTAAAAAACTACAGCAAATCCCTAAGATTTCATTTAGGGCTCAGTTCTCTCACTGCCCTCCAAATAATTCCCCCGGGTTCCAAGTCAAAGCTCCTGTTCTGCAGGCAGCAGCACAGACCTGATGGCCATGAAGGCAGCCACTCTCAGCCCAACTTCCTCTGCAAAGGGAGATTTTTTGGGCAACGTTTCTGGATCACAAACAAACTTATGGTGTGGAGCTGACTTTAAAAAAAAACAAACAGAGACATGTGATTAAGCTGCAGCATTTTTTAGAAACATGGCAGCAATAAACATTTGTTTTACATGGCAGAACATCCCTTTTCTCCAAACTGTGCAGCCTTTATGCATCACTTTGGCTCACAAGGGCACCAATGTAAATGCAATGGAACTGGCCAGATACTCCCTTGTGAGAGCAACACCTTCCCTGCAGCTGAGGCAAGAAACTTCTGGAACATCCCCTGGCATGACAGGGGCTGCTCAGCTCAGCCCCAGCACCCCAAAAAAAAAAAATCACAGTGGTGCCAAGGGAGAGGGATTGGCCATGCTCATAAGTTACTGCAGGTCCCAACTCACAGACAATATTTCCATTCACATTTCCACCACTTCTTCCATCTTACCATAACCAGCACTAGAAACTCTGCAAAGTGTGCACAGGAAAGTCTGCTGTGACTTTATGAACAGACACTGCCTTTTGGATTTACAGGCCTCAGATCAAAGTAATTTTGATCCTTTCTTCCTTCAGTGGATAAAGGCTTGGTAGGTGCAAACAAAAACTTGTAAATCCACTTCCTAGAACAAAACAAAATCGCCAGGAATGACCAGGTAAACACCACTCACATGCTTTTGTAGTGGTCAAAAGAAAGAAGCACCTTTGAACACTAATTGCAGAGAATCATGCTAAAGACAAATGTTGGAAGCTTACTGGAAGTTTCATGAATTTACTGGACACCTGCATAAAGCACCAAGTAATTAAACTGTCTAGACAGACAGAAGTTATTCCAAAGTGTACATTTAGTAGTGAACAACAGAAAAGGCAGCAGAAGCCATGCTGACAACACTGCAGCGCTGCAGGAAGCATGGATGACTTGTGGGTGTCCAAAGCAAAGGAGAGAAACACCAATGTCATGAATAAATCTGAGGGACAACCAAAACTGTCACTAGGGGAGAAGATTTTGCAGATGATAAAGCAATTTCATTCACTATCCAAGACCTTACTTGATGGTACAGTTGTGGTCTTAGCGCCGAGTTCTCAATCATAGTGTGAACCAAGGTGATTAAAGGTTCATTCTCTTTCATCTATTTCAAATCAGGAGGAGCATACAGCAAACATCAGTTTACAGCATGGCTAGATTTGAAAGACGACACTGTAAAATATAGCCTCTACTTTAATTCTTTCTAATAATGCAGCAGATCACATTTTAACCCATGCTTTTTATATATTCCATCATTCAGTAACATCAACATCTGAAAAGTTTCATAATAGCAAACAGATATATATATATATATATATATTAAAAAAAAAAAGTAAATGCTCAACACCAATGTAATATTTATTCACCAACACTCTCCCTTTTTAAAAATAAAAAAGCTTAAAGTAAGTTTGGCTTTGCACGGTATTGACATGAAAAGGTTTATTGGATTTTGCAGCAGGAACACTCAAACCTTTATCAGAAAACCTTTTAAATTTAAAGATAGATTTAATAACTCAGTGTACATTAAAAAGACATAAGCATTCCCAGCCTGTGAACAGACTTATGTCCACATATCACAAAATGCTTTCAGATACTGCACTGATTTATATCCTTTGGAACTTTGGATCATTGCCTGGTGCATTTATCCACCCCCATACACTGGAGTGAAACTATTTTGGAACTGGCCAGACATTTTCTGTAATGATTACTTATTTATTGTCAAGCAGCAAATGTCAAGATCAGATCTTTCATTACATGTTGCATACATTCAGGGTTTCAGAACTGTGTGCAACACAGAAAAATGTATGGGATTGTGGTTTAAAAAGGAGACTTCCCTAACAATAAGGGAAAACCATGAAAACAAGTGGTTTTCTTCTCCAAAAGAAAACTGAAAAGAGTGCACTTAATGCACAATTCTCCTCCTATTTTTGTTGGAAACTTTAGGACCTACTGAAAACTTTAGCAATGCCAGTTTCAGGTATTATTTCAGTGTGTGAAGGAGCATTAATGATCTTTCACTTTGCATTTATTTATGTGTGCATATAGATGAGCTCAACAGTGAAGGGGTTTTCATCCAAAGGAAAGCTTTACTATCAAGATAAAATTCAGAAGTGTACTGAAAGATTGGTGTGCTGGAATTCTTGATAATATCAGAAAGGTTCAAGTGGCACCTCTTGCCATGGCTTTATTTGCAAAGGAGAAAAAAGCACATCCAGCTTTTACTTGGGGAAAAAAAAACCAACCTTATGTTATGTTTTGGTTCCATTTTTGTAATTACTGGGTACAAGTAAATTAAGGAGACAGCAGGTTTGCATTTAGTAGCACACAATAAGATTATGGGATTTTCTATTTCAAATCTGATACTGCAGAAGACTGAGATGCTGTGTGTGCTCAATGTCCCATCCCTGCACAGGGCTGGGACAGAGCTTCAGGAGCAGTTCAGGAAGCAGCTCTGCACACCCTGAGCCTGCAGAGAGGCTTCAAAACAAAAAAAGGGGGCTGGACAAGCATTTATGTGGCCACAACACATCAAAGAAATGAAATGGCCAGGTATCTGTGTGCCAAGGCTTTTCAGTCTTTTTTCCCTCTCTCTAAAGTCCAACAACAGAAATTCTGAAAGCATTAATACAAAACCATCAGGAGTGTAACATGGGATTTCTAACATTGCCAAAGGAAACAGCAGCACAAAAACAAAGCATGATTTCAAATATTTGATTGAATATTCTTGATCCCTGACATGAAAACCACCCAATGAGCAGGCAGCTCATTGCAATAAAATATAAATTACCTCCCCTACACAGGAACTTTAGTCTGCCTGAAAAGTCACCTGGTAACAACCTTACTATTTATTGTTGTGTACAATGAATAATGTAAGGAATAATAAATAATGTGTGAACTCTCTGTGACCAAGAAGGTGAGAGCTGAAGATACAGGGACTGGGTTTCCACCATGTGCTATAAGCAAAGGAGGTTTTGACATTATATGCAGAGATTAAATACAAGTGGAAATATTTAATTTAAGTACACAGGACATTTAAAATGCAGAGAGGGTAAGGGATTATGCACACTGGTTACAGATGCTGCTAACAAGGAGGAAAGGCCTCAATTACACTGAAAGAAATTTCGATTTTTTTGTGCTTTCCAACATGAAGGGAAATGGATATTTGGATAATGGAAAGCTGTAAATGTGACAGCACCCCTAGAAGCAGTGGTAGTCAAGGCAAAAAGGCTCTCAGGGGGCTCTGTTTCCTGCAGGTAGATGATATTATTATAAAACAAGAGCAATGAGTATTCCAACCTGCTCCTCCAGGATTCTGTGACTAAGGTAATGTATTTTAGACTTGATTTCCAAGTTGTATTGAGTCCTGACATCCCTGGTATGGCAAAACTCTTAAGACTTTCACACTCTCCTAAATTAATGCTTTGCACATTGCATTTGGAAATTTTATCTGGTGCAAGTATCAGGAAAATAAGTTTTACTGTTTTGCATCCTGTACACAGATAATGCCCCCCATTTAATCCTGTCCATCACACTCACAAGCTTGGCTAACCAAGCAATAAAAACATTTTCACACTTCACACCCAGTTATCCTTTCCTGACAATTACACAGTTGAAGGCAGAATCATTATTCCAAAATTCCCTTATCCCAAAACATGACAGACTGGAAATATTTGAGTTGGATGGAATATTTGAACAAGCAGTATGTCCCTACTGAATTTTGGATCTCCTGCAGCCCCTTAAATAAAACAATACAGAGATGTTTAGAAATATGTTGTCATCACAATTGAATTGATCACAATTCCCACCCTGTTTTCCAGAGGAAATAGGAAAATAAAGTCACTGTGGGAACCCAGCCCATGTGAGGGTGTGCATTGTGTGTCTCTGTGCACAGCTGGGTTTTTTAATAACTCACTGAAACCCCAGCAGAGCTACATAGAAAATATAAAAATCCTAACAGTTGGTTTTAAATGTAAGGCTCAAAAGTTTCAATAAAAGGCAGATTCTTACAAAAAGTCATTTTTTATATTTTTAACCAACGGTCATCCAGTTGCTTATTTTAGTTCTAAGCACTTATGGCTGTATTTTATAACTGCTAGCAAAAAAAAAAAAAAAAAAAAAAAAAAAAAAAAAAAAAAAAAATCCGCTTCAAAACTTGTCAAACACAACTTGTACAGAAATCCCATTTGGTGATAAACAGAGCTCTGGGATATTGCAATTCTTCACCTGGCAATCAATTGTGTTAGTGAAGACAGAACTGATCCTCACTCCACAGGATACCAGGAACTGGAAAGAATTAAAATCTTATTCTTGTATAAATCCATCAGAATGAACTGAGAAAAATGAAAAAAGGAGCCATGCTGTGATTTGTTTAAAAAATTTCATGTTTGACCTCCTCTTCATTTAATGTCCTGTAGAAACATCTAACTCTTCTTAACCTGAAAAACCTAAATTCTCAGAAGGACCCATTTCTAATAAATTGTATGTGTGTCATATGAACTTGGAAACATATTAGGACTGGTTAAAGAAGGTAAAATGCCAGTTAGTGTCATTATGAAAAGGAAATTAGGAACATATTTAGAACAGAGAAATGAATTGGTGATTGGCTACTGTTTTCTGGCAAATTTTAAATTGAGGGATTTTTTTTTTTTCCATAACAGATTACATTTTTGATAGATTAAGATATTTTATGTTGTGGGCATCATCCAACTTCATAAAGAACACTGAAAATCCTTCTCCCCAAATATTTCCAGCTTTAACAGGAGCAGGTAAAAAAAAAAAAACATTAAGAAATATAAACGCACAAGTAAATTGCAAATCCCACCTGGTGATCCAAATAAATGGCATTCCTTTGAAGGTGATGTGAAAGAATCTCATTCTAGCAGGCAGCAGTCAGAGGGGAAAAGGAAAAGGACAGAAGGTGCAGAATGCATGAAAACAGCTTTAAAGGGTGCAAAGTAGACAGTGACAGACACTTGTGTTCTATGGAGAAATGCAATGCTGTTTTTAAACGCCTTTTCTGGTGAACTCTTAACAAGTTTTGAGCAAGAAACAGAAATGATAAAAGTTTGCTACAAATCAGACAATCAACTACTACACTGAATTTTAGATGACATATAAAATACAGTTTATGTAAATGTCCACTAGACAGGCAACTATGAACCCTTTGATAAATCTGTGTTTTAAACATGTTCTGCTTTTCAGAGACATCAAAAATAAGATGGTATCTGATCAGTATAAACAACAGATTAATCTCAAACTACCACCACTAATTTTGTTTGTAAAACCAATGGATGAAAACCACTTCAATTTAAATGGGAGCTGCAGTGTAATTTCCAATATTGCCATGAAACTTTGACTTGTTTCAAAAAAAGCATCTCAAAGGGTTGATAGCAGAACAACACATACAACAAACAGGGATTAAACCTTAAAGGGTTGGAACACCACACACACTAAGGGTTAAACCTTAAAGGGTTGATAGCAGAACACCACACACACCAGGGATTAAAATCTCAGGGGTTGATAGAGCACACACCAAGGATTAAATCTTAAAGGGTTGACAGCAGAACACCACACACACCTGGGATTAAAACCTTAAAGGTTCGATAGCAGAACAGCACCCACACCAAGGGTTAAAATCTCAGGAGTTGATAACAGAACACCACACACACCAGGGATTAAAATCTCGGGTTGATAGCAGAACACCACACACACCAGGGATTAAAATCTCGGGTTGATAGCACAACACCACACACACCAGGGATTAAACCTTACAGGGCTGATAGCAGAACAGCACACACACCTGGGATTAAAATCTCAGGGGTTGATAGCAGAACACCACACACACCAAGGGTTAAAATCTCAGGGGCTGATAGCAGAACAGCACACACACCAGAGATTAAAATCTCAAGGGTCGATAGAACACACACTAAGGACTAAATCTTAAAGGGTTGACAGCAGAACACCACACACACCTGGGATTAAAACCTTAAAGGATTGATAGCAGAACAGCACACACACCAAGGATTAAAATCTCAAGGGTTGGTAGCAGAACACCACACAAACCAGGGATTAAAACTTTTAGGGCTGATAGCAGAACACCACACACAGCAGAGATTAAAACCTTAAAGGATTGATAGCAGAACACCACACACACCAGGGATTAAAATCTCAGGGGTTGATAGCAGAACACCACACACAGCAGAGATTAAACCTTAAAGGTTTGATAGCAGAACACCACACACACCAGGGATTAAACCTTAAAGGGTTGTTAGCAGAACAGCACCCACACCAAGGATTAAACCTTAAAGGTTTGATAGCAGAACAGAACACACACCAAGGATTAAATTTTAAAGGTTTGATAGCAGAACAGCACCCACACCAAGGATTAAATTTTAAAGGTTTGATAGCAGAACAGCACCCACACCAAGATGACTGGACTCCAGTGCACTGACACAGGAGCCCCAGAGCAGAGCAGAGCAGGAAGCAGAGGTGTGCTAAGGAATGGCCGTGGTTAGGGGATGGCAGGGTGACACACAGAGCTCAGTGCTGACCTTTGGGCTGCTGGCCTCAAGCTTTAGCTGCATGAGCTGTGCTAGTGTGTGCTCCCGGATACTACTCAGCTCCGCCTGCTGCCGTCTCAGCTTTATGAGCAGCAGCGTCAGCTCCTCCGGCTGCACCAGCACACGGGGAGAAGCCAAAGAGCAGAGAAAAGGTTAATTGGTACCCTAAACATCACTGCAAGGCACATCTGGCAACAGCTGCACTTCTCAGCCAATGGGAGGTGCACCTTCTGAGAGGCTCACAAAAACCCTGTGGGGGTACAGACACAGGGGACACCCTTCTCCACAACTGAAGAACAAAATGAGGGGTTGGCTTCTGACTGCTCAAACCAGCAAATGCCATAAAAGTCAAACATTCTCTATTAAGGATAAAATTAATTGAGGATTTTGCAGGACAAACTTTTCCTGACGTGTGTATCAAATTGATGATATTGAATTAAGTCAGGGAAAAACAATTCCAGCCCTTAGGATGTCATTACCTGGACATGGGCAGCCATCTGAGCTGGGTGAAAGAATCAAAACATGCCCTCAAGAAAATGTAGTTTTTAAAATAATTCTTCAAATGTATCAAGGTGTCCAGAACGGAGAGGAAAAAAGGATGACAAACCCATGTTAACTGAAGTACCTCAGAAATAATCACCTTCCACTGAATAAATCTGCACAAGCATGAGAAAAAATCATTTTCCATCCCACCTTCCACAGGTCTGAGGCCTCCAGTTATTTTATTGCTTTACTTTTATGACTAAGCTGTACAACACAGCCTTAGGAAGGGATGAAGAATAGCATTTAAGACCCGAGATTATATGTATTATGGAAATAAAGTCCAACTCAAATGGATCTTTTTCAGATAATTCCACACAGATCAGTACAGGTCAGTTTGGGAAACTCTACCTGAACCATTCCATTTCTATTAGCAATACTTCAAAGAAAACAAAGCACTGAACATCACAAGGATTTTTGTTATGTTCCTGTTTGCTTCTGTTTCCTACACTTCTCCAGAAGTCAGCCTTACAGGAAATATCAAATATTCATCCAGTGGTTTGATTTTCTCACAAGCCCTGTGAGTTAAACAAAGCCCAAGCACAAAAACCTCCTAAAGCCCTGCTTGCTCTCTCCCCCAGCCACAGAACTTCCCCAAAGCAAAGCAAAGCAAAGAGCTCCAGAGAACCACACATAAAAAACACTGCAAGTGCAGAGAGAATAAAGAGGAAAATCCCCCAGGAGCAGCGTGGCACTGGCACTTCTGTGAGCTCAGAGCAGAGGAGCCCACAAGAGGGAGCAAAGCATTTCCACACAGCTTCAGCTGGAAAAAAACCATTTGTTTTTGAGGGAAAACCAACACCAAACCCGAATTGTCTAATGGCAGTTTTCCTTCTGACAGTGCTCCTTCAGTGCCTGGATTTAAAACATTTCATTTCAGAGAGTAAGTGTGAGAATCTAGGCTGCTGTACCAAGGATTTTTGAGTTCTCTCCAAAAATAGGCAACAGTGCTTTCAGATGGGGAAGTAACATCCATTCAAAGCACAGGAAGTCTTATTTTTGGGAATATGAGAACAAAAAGTAGGACTTTTTAGCAAAGGGAGCAGTGATCCACTTTTTCAAGATCAAAACTGCTTTTGGCACATTCTGGAAAAGACCAATTTTAGTGCATTAGGAATAAATTATTTAATGGCACTCCAACCCAAGCTTTTTTTTTTCCCATAGAGGAGCCCCTGGAACAGAACTCCTCCCCCTCTTTAGACATTCCCAATGGTGCTGTGAGTGCTGGGAATTTGATTGGGATCCTTGCAACAAGCACAGCACAAACTTTCCTTAGAGCTGCCTGCAGGTCTGCCCCTCTGGCCCCTGCTGTGGGCAGGAATTCTGCTTGGCTTCTTGGACCTGTCTGAACCTCTGGAGATGAGCCCAGGAGAGCTGAGGGGGTCACAGACCCCAAGAAATGTCTGCAAGGCTCCAGCTGCCAAAGGCCAACCCAAAAAAAAGTCACTGGAAGTGGCAGAGATCAGTGGTGGGAAGTGCAGGAAACAGAGCTCGAGGCAGTGGAAGGACTGGCTGCCCATAGCATGAACTAAAATTAAAAAAAAAATCTGTTTTCTTATTTCATAACTCTCTCCACCTGGATTTTTGGATGGAGAGATGACAAAAAAAAAAAGAGACAAAAACTGGTAAAGAAGTGACAGAAATTTAGGGCAATTTTTTGGCTGAGAGTCATGTTTCAATGAGGAAAGTGAAGAGGATCCACCAACATCACTTTGGTGAAATATCTTCAGTGAGAATCACAGTACAGTGTCACAAAAGACACCATTTTACAAAATTCTCTTTCAGTACCTTTTACATTTCCAAAAAAGCCAAACTTTACTTCTAGGATTTTCTAAATAATTAACGGAGAAATAAGTGTTCTGTGATGTAGTCTCCCCTCTCTCAGGAATTTCAGCGATGTATCAATGATGATTAAAAAAAATTAATAAATCTGTATTTCCCAAAGAAAACCTTAACTCAGCAGCTACATGATATTCTCACAATTCTGTGGAATCACTGAGTACTTCATTCCCTGATAATTTCAATAAAGGCCACATTTAAAGCAAGCTTTACCTAAAACAAAATTTCAATGTTGCCTCTTCACACTTCAAGGATTATTCTACAAAAACCCCCGATGGAGCAAATAAAAATCCAACTCACTGTTTTGCCTTGGAGGCTCTGAGGAGTAACAGGCTGTAAAGTCAGAGCTGCTGGCATGGATCTCCTGTCAGGCACAAAGACATGCTGCACAAGAGAAACAGCACAGGGTGAGCCACAGTTCTTCCCAAACACTGCAAAACTTTAAATGCTGAGAACAAAAAGCCAAGCCAACTTCCCCCCCCCATGAAAATTTGCTGGGATTTGTGCCAGTCATGATACCTGGGTAACTCAAGAGTCTAGCTTGAAATTTTAGAAATATCCCCAATTTCACAATTTGCTGCTGTGGAAGTGCCATGACTGAGTCCTGCAGGCAAAGCTTAATATATTTCTAACTCAGAATTAACATTCAGGCTTTGCCAAGCACAGTTCTGCCCCACATCTTCCTGTGTCTTCAATTTTGGGTCAAACCTGGTTTGCTGGTCAGGGCAGTTTCCTGCTCCCATCACGTCAGCAGTTCAGAGAAAGCAAATCCTGACTCTGCTCTTCCATTGCTTTTGCAGGGAAAATTTTGTATTTTGCCTAAACCACAGGGCTGCCTGAAGCAGGAATATGAGCAGGCACAGTCTCATAAATGACCTCCCAAAAGTGAGCAGGAATAGAAGGGAAAGGACAGGACCATCCCTCCTCTGCCCTCCTATACACACAAAAATAACATTTTTGTACTTCAGCCAGGGCAGTTATTTTCCTGCTAACACAGTTCAGAAGAGAATTAAGGAGGAAGCAGGGGAGGATCATTCCTGGGAACTCTGAATGGCAGAGCTGAGGCACCATCCCCAGCCAAGGTGCACCCACAAATCCCATTTATTTCTCAACTCTGCACCAAGAGACTGCCACTACAGCTCTATTTCCAAAGCACAAGCAATATAACCAGCAATATTCCCCAGAATGGATGTTTATTATTTAATAAATGAAGACATTGGCTAAGAAAATTGAAAAATATTAAATATTCATAAATATGAAATGTTTTGGAGCAAATTTAAAGGAAACCTGGAAAACAACAGACAGTTTTAGCACAAGGAGGTCCACAGCCATGGCAAGGTATCCCAGATAAGAATATTTCTAATGCTTTGTGAGGAAAAACATTGAGGACTTAATTCCTTTACCAGTGTTGCAAAGGGACTTGTATGACACAGTTCATTTAAGGACAGCAGTACAACAGCAGTTTGGGGAGGTAGCTTTTTTTCTCTCTTGCTGGATTCTCAAAATATTAGTGGCAGATTGGTAAATAAAGTAAATTCTGTGGGTGTAGCCCAGCATTCTTGGGGCTGCAGATGTAATTTCTATTTCAAGAACAATAGGGAAGGTTTTGGAATAGTAAGAAAAGACAGAGCACAGGACAGGAAAACTAGCTGATGAGAAAAGAAATAGGAAAGAAAATTTTTAAGCTGCAGGGTGACTATTTTGGAGTAGGAAATGCCATTTAAACATACACAAGCACTCAATTCAAAACCATGTGCTGGGAAAAATAGAAAATTTTTGGCATTTTGGTTTGTGATGTTCTCATTCCTGCATTTTCAGACCATGTCTTCATTGCCCTTCTCCAGGTATTCCTTCTAACTCATCACTTGTGAACAAGTTTTAAAAAGGTAATAGCTTAAAAGGTAACAAATGCTATCAGGAATTCTGCAAATATAGAAGTCCAGCCAGGGATGGAAAGCTTGACAGTCTTGTAGTACATGGAGAAAAATATATTGGTGACAAAATTATTTTCTTGTGGGTTAAATGCTCCAGCACATAACAAGTGACTTATTATGAGGAACCCTGCTTTACAGAATATTGGATAAATTCTAGAACTTTCTGTTTGGATGGCTATCTGTGCAGAAATGCAGCACTCTGTATGAAAAATACAGGCTATAACAGCCCTGGAGAGGAAAATTCATCCCACCTCTTAATTTGGGATAGTTCTTAATGAGCCCAGAGGGGCTGAGCTCTGGGGACACAGCATGGCATTGCCAAACCCCTGCCAGACAGGGGCTCAGGAGGAGTCTGAGAACCCAAAAATACAGAGCCAACCTTTGAGAGCCACTGAAAAACCTAAGATCTCTATGTGGATGGGGTTTAGATGTTAAATTTACATTTACCCCAATGATTTCAAATCAACAGTCCTCTAACTACCCACCTCTTAAAGACAGGGGTGTTTTTAAGTTAATGGCAAAAATTGGTTGTGTTAACTGATTAAATACAAAGCAAACAGCATGAAAAACTCAAGGGAAACAGGAGGTTTGTATATAAAATACTAAATCCTAAATGAAATACTAACATAAAGTGTTCAACAGGGAACAGAACCATGAGGAAGCAAAGGCTGGCTGGCAGTGTGGTAATACACACCCTGCAGCACTGACCCAGGGACACTGCTCACATTTGTCACAAGCACTGATTCCTAAACTGGACTTAAAAGATGTCACAGCAAAATGACTCCTCTGGTGATAGGGATCTAAAAACTTTAAAACACCTGATAATCAACTCCCAAGTTGTTTAAATTGCTTTAAAATATAGATTTTTTTTTTCCCTGCATCAAAAAAAAAAAAACATTCAAGGATAAAGTTTTTAGAACTTTATCCAACATCCAACTGAAGGAGTACTTTTTATTGAATTATTTACAATCTATTAAGGTCTATGGTAACACAAGCATGCTGGCTGTAGCAGAGTGGCACATATGGCACCCAAGTTTACAGCTCCTCATGTCTCCCTCTCAGTGGCCATGCACCAAGGTTTTGTGCATTTACAATGATCTTCAGTGATCTCCCCAACAGCTCAAAGGCACAAAAATGAACAATACACTTGATTTGCTGCTGGAACCCAGGGCAGTGAACTTGTTGCTGAGGAATAGAAAGCAGCATGTGTAAAGAAACCTGGGATTTTGAGTCCTCTTGGTGCTAGAAAAGTCAGATTTCTGTACATGCATAAGGTATACTGAATAATCTGCCTACTGACTCCTTGGTTTTTTTTAGAGAAACATATTATCATGGGCAGTAATACCAGGATGTGTTTTCACCATCTAGGGTTTTAAAAAAACACATTTTTTACTACCCTTAAGATTTTTCAGCCCTTTTAAAAATCCAACCTCTCTCCATGAAGACAGTGATGTAAAAATCCCCACTGGAATAAAATACACTACAGTGCAACATCCAGACCCATGCCACTGCTGGAGTCAGTAAATCAGGAGTGTCCCTGAATTCTTCACAGAGAAATCAGAGTGCAGGGATTGAATTAAAGCCTTTGGGTGGATTGAAATATGTTAAGCCACTCTCACATAAGGCAGAGGTGAAAGTTTAGGTTTCAGCATGAGTGAGCAAGGTGAGTAAATAAGTAGGTAAGAAGTGGAGTGAGTAAGTAGGTGGATGAGTAAGTGAGTGGAGTAAGTTTTAAGTGTTTTTAGTGACTAAAGGCCTCGGATGCCAGAGCAGCAGCACATGTTCTAGTGAAGGCTGAGAAACACAGTCCTAGATATTGGTGTTTCCATGGGGGCTCCAAGAACATTGTTTCAGGCATAATAGAGTTAGAGTTCAGAATATTGCTGACATTTTTCAGTTAGAACAAGACAGGCCATGTATGCAGTTTGTACATAGCCTGGCATGCTGAGAAACCAGAATTGTAATAGGTTAAGGAGCAGTGCCCTGAGTTTGTGCTTTAGCTTTTGGGAAGTTTCTATATAACAACATGCACTGGGGAGAGCTGGGGCTTTTGCCACTTGCTGTTTGTGCCACGTGCTTTTATGCCATTTGCTTTTTGCCATTGCTTCCCTTTGCTTTTGCCTTTGAGACCGATGTGCTTCTGCAACAAACGACTTTGTAGAAAATATTAATGAGCTGCCTGGCTCGTGGAGGGAAACAACCCAACGAGATGGGTACCTAGGAGCAGGACCAAGCTCATATTGCACTGCAGGGAAAATGAGAGAGAATGGGAGAGGAATGAGAGAGAATGAGAGTGAATGAGTGTCGGAATCGCTGCCTTGGGACGGTTGGGACAGTCTCAGGTGCTCTCTGTGTTCTGGTGTTGAAGTTTTCAGTTTATTTTGTAGGGTGTGGGTTTATGTAAGGCCCTGCTGGGAACTGCAGTCACAGCTCAGAGCAGGACAGAGAGAGAAGAGAGTGTAAGAGTAAAAGAGCTTAAGAAAGTAACAATGAAGAGAGTAAGAGCATAAGAGAGAGATTTTCCCCTTTCCAATACATTAAATCTTCTCCTATGTTGAATATTCTAATTTCCACTAACCAATCTAATACAAGACACAAATTCTCTAACATTTACGTGCAACCCATAGGAATCACAATATCACCATGTTCTACTGCTTTTCTTATTTCTAAATTTTATCTGGGACCCTTCCTGCCATGCCTAGGGAGGATGTCTGTTTGCTTTTTGGTGTTTGCAGCATCTAACATTATCTAAACCAAGGGGCCTTCAGGCATTCAGTTGTTTCAGCCACAGAGTCAAAAATCGCTCTCATTTCTATTTCGCTTCCATTTTCCATATTCTCCAATCCTTTTGCCAGGCACTGGTATTTATTTATAAGGTTTCTCTAATCCATCCTTCCCAACAAACCATAGTGCAAGAGAGCAGTGAGTGATGCAGGGAGCCCCTTACCTTGCCGTGGGCTGTCCTGTGCCTGCGCTCCAGGGTCACATCTCCCCTCTGCACGGGCGACGAGAGCTCGGAGCGGAAGGCGCGCTGTGGGGAGAAGGCCATGGCACCGTGCGAGGGGGACGTGGGGATGGAGCCCAGGGGCTGCTCACACAAGTTGCCCACGGTTTTGGGGCTGCTCAGGGTGCCCTGCCTGCCCAGAGTGCCCTGCTTGCTGTAGAACTGGCGCTGCTGCCACTCGTAGAGCTGCCACATCGTGTCGTCGCGCATGGAGCGCCGCTTGTCCTCGTAGCAGGGAGCCACGCTGCACAGGCTGTCGGGACGAGCCTTGCTGTTCCTTGGCAGGGTCCTGTAGCCCTCGGGGTACCTGGGCAGCACCTGGGCCCGGTGGCTCGGCATGTTCCTGGGCAGGGTCTGGTACGAGACGATGCTGAAACACAAGATGCGGGAGTTAGCGGCGCTGTCGCGGCTATGGGAACTCGGTCACTGCTGTGGGAAACAGAAAAATGTGCCCAACTCTCAGAAAAATCCATTCTCAGGATGGGAAATGCAGGAATGCTGAAGATGCAAGGACAAGAAACAACGGGGCTGTGAGCTGTGCAGAGACAGACCTCAGGAAAATGTGTTAACCAAGGCAGCAGAAATATGTAAGCTTAGTAACAAACCTTTATCCGTTGTTTTAAGCTATTACAAGCAAGAATTGTTCAAAGCAAGATCTACATGCTGAGCAATTAATAACATGAGCTTCATTATTTCCTTGAGCAAACTTCTAATATTCTGCTATTGGTTAGAATGTTGTTAAAAAGACTTTGTGACAAAGAGAACTGAAGCTGCTCCATCTCCCCTGCTTGGCTCTGTACAATGAGAGTGATGGGTGTGATGGAATAAAGAGTCAAGAGAGCTGCTCCAGCATTCCCATCCTGCTCTTTGTGTACATAGATAAATGTAAATCTATTTATCTATATCATATATCTATATCATATATCATAGATATATGTAAATATAAGAGAAAAAATATCCCAGGAAAACCCGACACATGATGGGTTGGGTTTATCCAGCTCTCACCTTTTATAATACTTTGAATGGCATTTAGAAAATGCTCAAGAAAATCAAGGCAACAGTTCAAGAGCCAATGATAGAGACTGAATGCACTGCAGCAGCCAAAAGTGGATCCTTGCTCTCTGATTAGCTCTTGCTGATATAATCCACATTTCCTCTTTTTACCAGTTTGTCATTCTAGCAGTGTCAAGTTTTGATCAAAACTTGCAACTTGTCTATATGCTGGATAGGTGAAAGTTTTTAAAGCTTTAAAGTTCTACACTGTTTCCACATGCTTTCCATATTTCCATTTGGAAAAGTGAAAAAATATCCTGCAGTTTCCCTAAGAAAATCTTTCAGCAATTACTACAGACATTTAAAAAAAAAAAAAAAAAGATAAAAGATTCTTTTAACAGCAGTCCATGGGAAGACTGCAGTAATTGTCTAAAGAAATTGTATTTCACAATTGTCAAGGACAAGCCATTCTGTATCAGCCACTCAAGTGAAACAAAGAGCAACACATGTCTTTGTTTGATAATAATATTTTATTGCTTCTCAACTCAGATATTAATTAAAAGGCCTATTTCTTTAATTATTTGCCCCTTTAAAATTCTGGAGTTCTACAGTCATCTAGCAACTTTCAGCATTAGTTGAAATCAAGAATTTTCTATACCAGGGATCGATGCGTGCTAAGTATGACAAAGCTTCTCGTTCATTTTTCCCAAAGGACAAAATCCGGGTCATAAACATTGATTTATTCATCCCTTATCTAAAATGCAAACGAGCACCTCCTAAAGCCTTTTGCTACAGATCCTGCCTATGACTGAAACTTTCTTAGACAAAAGCCAGGCTCAGAGTGGGCCTGGTTTAGCCATGAGAGGGCAGCAGCTGCCAGCTACACCCCACACCCACCAAACTAAAACCCTGCACCATGAAGCACCACAACCTGGGCATGGATTTGAATTACTCCAGTGCCACAGAAAAAAACCAAAAAACTAAAAAACAAAAAAAAATCCCCCAAAACAAAACAAAAAAACAAACAAAAAAACCTAAAAAAACCCCAAACCCCCCAAAACAAACAAAACCTCCCCAAAACAAAAAAACAACAAAAAACCCCCCAAAAACCAAAAACACCCCCAAAAAACTAAACAAAGAACAAACAAACCCCCCCCCCAAAACCACCCAAACAAACCACAAAAACCCCACCATTCCAGAAGTTATGTAGAGCAAATGGCAAGGTAAATAAATCAGCATTATGCATGTGAGATCCTTATGGAATAACTATCAGGGAAATTGATGATGGCAAACCCCACTTTTCACTGAAAACAGTAAAGTAACATTTTGAAGATGAAAAATGCTATAAGGAGCTTTATGTCCAAAATATGCTGCAGTTCCTGAAGCTTTTCAAGAATTAGTGAAGAATTATCCCCACTTTGTATTGGACCATTTCCCATTCTTGGGAAAAAAAAAAAAAAACCATAAAAAGGGAAAAGGGATTTTAAGTCCTAATCTTTTGTTGCTGAAATTCTTCTAAAATTCTTTAGTAACACACCATTAATGACAATGCTTTTGTCCATCTCTGTATTTAAAAACAAACAAACAAGATGTGTTTGAACCCCATTTCTAACTTTCAAGATGGAATTGTAGCTACATCCCATAACAGCTACAGCACAGCCCGACATTTTAATGAATATATTTGGTAGCAGTGAGGACACACCTCACTCACTGAAGCTCCTCACACATTTTATTCATGAAATGGGCAGACCTCGAAATATCCTGAACTTGCAAAAAACAAGACCTGAAGTTTTTAACTGTGCAAAGACATCAATTTAAAATCTGCATGTAATGACTTCTAGTCCAGAATATTTAGAAATAAAATAGAATCCATTTTCAATTGGTAAACCATGAAAAGCTCAATGACCTCAACGTGAAGCCCTGTTTTACATCATTTGGTAAAATCAGAATAGATTCACCAACGTCCTGTTGATAATTGTAAAAATGTCACTGCAGTCACACCCAAACCAAATTCCAGCTGTCCTACCCAAAGAGCTGCATCACAAACAATTCCCTGGAACTGCTCCCTTCAGTTGTGTTTCTAGGTTGGGATATTTGGGGTGGGAATTTTGCTGCCAAGCCTTGAGGGGCTCAGTTCTGCAGGGTTAAGAATATCCTGGGATTGGAAATTTAAACCAGCCCTTCATCCCAATGAACACAAAATTCAGCTGGCCCTGAATACAGAACTTCCACCTGAGAATCAAGGAAAGGTGGCAGAGGGAAGATGGAAACCTGGTGGGTTTTTATTATTTATTAATTTATTATTTTGGATGAATCTTACATAGGCAAGGCACAGAGACAGGCTCACATCCTGGCTTAGCAGCTACAAAAATACATCACTTCCCACCAAACAACCCTTCTGTATTTATTCACATTTCAGACAGATCACTCAGGTCAACCACTTTTGTGGAAAACATTTTTCTTTTTCTGTAACAGTCTTCTGCAAAATTCAATAAAATGATACCATAATGGAATATGTTTATTTTTTATTGAAGCCACATTTATTTTTGGTTTAGGATAAGTTTGCCCTCTCTAAGGCAGCAGTTTATTCATGTGGCTTTGGCCAAATTAGATGTCTAGATCCATGGAAACAACAGCTAACACCTTCAGGAATTAAAATCCACATTGCCATCATTCTCATTCTCATTCTCATTACTTCTTTGGGCAATCAAACCACTGAGGGGTCAGCCTGTTCCTCTAAAAAAATTAGCAGTTGTATAGTGAAACTTTTTCATTCTATACAGGACAGCTAAGAGCTCTTCTTTTCTCTGCTATATGGTCACTTAACTGAGCACCTTAGTTAAGATTTTAGCATTCCTCCTGATTTATTTTTGCAGGGATCTCAGTTGAGTCCTCCAGGATTTCTCTAATGCAGACACAATAATAGAGATGCACTGGAAAGCAGCTCTGTGGAAAGGCAGAAACTTTTCCTCATTAAGACTGATCTTTTAAAAATTCAAGTTATGAGTTTTACAAATCTTTAACAACCTCAGGATCTCCTCACCTCACCCTTAAGCTCTAAAATAAATCAGAGCTTTTTTCTACTCTCATTCACCAACTTTGATTCTACTTAAATTTCTGTCTCCAGCCAGAAGCTGGCAACCTGAACAAAAATAAAATCTTCAAATTTTAAATGAAGCTCCATTTAAAAGACATCACTATAATACATTAGAAATTTGGATCATTATTCAAGGTGGTTTCCATGCAAAGCAAAAAAAAAAAAAAAATAGTCCCAGGCCAACTCTCCTTCAGTTTGCTGCTTTTCTGTAGAGCTGCATTTGAAAGCATTTCTGTTATCAGTGCCACCCTTATCTAGGCAAACAAGTGTTCCCTACACTCAAGAATAAAATATTGTTAATTAGTAACATATGGTTAATAGCACTTCCCTCTATTTGATTCCCACAATGAAATCAGTTTTGGGGTTTTTAATCCTTGTTCACGACTGAAAAACAGCACAGCTACTCTAATTTCTTCTGTTTGGTTGTAAGTTTTAAAGTCCAATTAAAAAAAAAAACTGCATCAAAGAACCTTCTGAGTTCTCATGATGCAAGTTTGAATAATAAAATAAATGTCAGGGTGTGCAAGTCCCTGTCTACTGCAAGTCTGAACTTGATCAAACTATTTATGATGAGCAATTCATGAAACAACACATTAACAATTCCTAATTAAATGTAATGAAGGGCTAAAAGCAGTGAGGAAATGTTCAACCTTGGCAAGTGCAAGCCAAGTTCATGGAAATTTTTCAAGGTTTTGCAAAAACTGAGAAGCCACCACCCACATATCTCGAAATCTGTGGGGGAAACACATTTTCAGAACTTGGGTTTATCTTAAGCTGTGCTCTGACATCCATCTGTGTACAAAAATCCTTCATTTCCAGCTCTTCCAAGCATCCCCTGTGATAGCATCTCCATCCTTCCTAGCAAATGCAAGATTAAAAACCTTTCCCATTTTCCTGCCAGAGCTGTTGTCTGTAAGGCAGCAACGACCCCACGCTTGTGTCAGACACAGAAATTGCTTTTGGCACGACATGAAAAATCCTGTCAGCCACTCACACATCCTCTGCAGGCTCCAACAATAACCTGAGCTCTGTATTCCAATGGGTGATAGCTAAATTCAGGAGGAGCTTGAAGCATCGAGTTAGATTCCTGTGTCTTACTTTTAGCTAAATCTTCTCTCTCTTCATTCAAAGCTAAAGTTTACAAGATCCCAGGAATATTTTTTAAAAGCATTTCAAATGAAATATTATTACAAGGATTTGTGAAAAAAAATGCAGAAGAGAAGGTGATTTCAAGAACAGATTTTAAGAGGAAGAAGAAGAATTTTTTATGATTGATGACACCTCTTCCCTACTAGGACAGGGAAATTTCCAGCACCCAAAAAGGGTTTATGGCCATTTTTATTGATTGAGTTATTAATATACTTCAATTTATTAATAACCATTCAAATGCTAATGAAAGAAACTTTCACACATTTGTTCTGAGAAGCCATCCAGGCACTTCTGACAGAGAACAATGCAATTAAGCAATTATATAATAGAGACCAAGAACTAAAGATTTATTGGTCCCCCCTAAGACCTTAAATTGTTCCCAAGACCAAACATTTGTGCCTTGGCTCCTTCTCAAGGTTATGGGGGAAGAAAGAAAAGAAAAGGATCACCTCCAAACTCTACTACCCAGTCCTCTACCAGAAACCACAGGAAATTCCCATCAGGAATGTGAATGAAAAACTCCATTTCCCACAATTCTCAAGTAAAGAAAGGATGTTAAGATTTCAGTTTGCAGCCAGCACTCTGGAGTTTACAAATGAATAT